TATGTTTTTTTTTTATTTAATTATTTATTTATTTTTATTATTATTTTTTTTTTTTTAATTACGTATGTATTCTACTACACGAAATATATACGGTATTCGTCCGTCGGCTTTTTACAAGCAAATGCCAAATTCATTTCTGTTTCTTGTTTCTTCTCTTCTCGTTTCCTTTTGGTATACATTTTTTTTCGACAACAGATTTTATTAAAAAATTGTATATTAAATCAATTGCGTGCAGCTTTTGGATGGGGTGTCGAATGTGCTCATGCATAAAGTGGGTGGCCGAGGAGGGCCCCACATTAAATGGTATAAATCATATTATGGTCATGGGAAACGGAGCATTTAGTAGGTTGCTTTGCACTTTAAGATATTTCAAGCAACAAAGGCTAAAACAATTAAGACAACGCTAATTGAGTTATTATATTGTTTAGAGCATACCAATCAATTGTCCCATTAAGTTGTCAGTATTTTGAAATTTATGTCAAGCTGTTTCGGAAATAAAATAATATCCATTGCTGTTCAGTCAACATTATATAAGAAACATCATAAATAGGAATTTCGGTTGGCTACGATTATTAGGCTCATTCGATTATGTCGCACCATAGTCTCTTTTCTCTTTTTATTTGTGTTCTCCGAATACACAAGTTATATGGGCGCGCTGTGATATGAGATGCCGGCGAGGGAGCAGAAGCTCGTCATTCTTCTGCTGCCCAAGTCGCAGAACGAACGTTCACTAACTGCAGCAGACTTGCTCCTATTGTCGATGGCAACTGCTCTGCAATTTACCAAGGCCATCTATAGCTTCAACATGATGATTATCACGACAAAACATAACTAATATTTGTAGGTGCTGGAAATGATGTCTTAATTAATAATATCCAAGCATCGCAATTGTTTACTAGTCTAATATTTAATAATAAAAGCATATCAGCCTGCAAATGAAATCAATTATCAACATCTCATTACTCTACAACATGGCTATCGGACGATAGATATTCGCTTTTGTTTTACAAAATTTACTTGACATGATTTTAGGATGATGTGTCAGTTCACTTGGAAGTGTAACACGTATCATATTGCATCAGTCTCTTCACATATCTAATTGCCTAGTCAGATCTCTCGGGTCACTTTCTCGATTTTCCTCAAACTCCAATATGTTGCATTTGAAGTTCAGTTACAGCTGGCAAATGCATTTCTATGAGATGGTCATCCTGATCCGACAAGCACAACCTTCACAATGATGGACGGGGGATGAGGTAGTGCTGTTCCGCTGATTAATTTCAGCTTTTTGTCTAATGAACTTGCCCGCAAGAATTTAATAAACATCGCTCTGAAACTTTATTGGCCACAAAAAAAGAACAAAAATAACTGACGTCTGCTACAAAATGCGCCAAAAAAAACTGTAAAACTCTGTAAATGACCGACTAGAAAATACCGTGCCATCTATGTTAAACGAGTAACATTAATTGACAAGACCAAAAAATTGTTCACTCTTTAGTTTATAAACACCTGTTGATCGATCTCCTTGGAGGACGAAGAATGATATACTATATATAATAGTTTATAAATGTATTTTGATTAATTTCAATGAGGATCTCTACACGAATACAAAAAGAAATCAAATCTGTTTATATATTGTATTAGAAATTCTTTAAATGAACCTTGTTCGTGTTCATCATACCTTCTTGGCCGCATGATGGCTGCAGGGTATAAAGTGAGCAAGCAAAGGAAAAATCATCTCTGGTAAGTTGTAAAAATTGTCTTTTAATGCCACGAAAATCCAGCAGATTGCCACGTAGTGCTAATAAAATAAAGTTATGCCCAGGCATAAAAAATCTACACAAAATTGTGAGAAATAGTGTGCGGTGCGTTTTTATTTGAATTTTCATCCTCTTTTTCGAATGAAAAAAAAAAAAAAAAAAAATGGCGTAGAAAAATGTGCGCGCGCGCAAGTTGGGCCGAGCTGGGGCGCTAAACGCATCATTAATCAAATGTCCGGCGCCTAAGCACCGTTATTCATCATTGCCCCGGGATAAAGCGGACCCAAAGCATCTCAAACGACGCCATATTTGTTCGCTATGTGAATATTTTTGTGGAAAAAGTTGTGAATTTCAATTATGGATAGGGCATACGAAACTATATATTATATTTTCAGCTAAGGTCTGTGAGAAGCGGCTTGAGAAACTCGGATTTTCAATCACTGAGATCGACAGCTATCTTAACAAATAATTTAAACACTCTGCACTTTATGTAAATATAAGATATGTCAAAAATCAAATAAAATAAAAATACGAAACTTTTATCATAAAGAAATATCAGCTCATGCCTAAACGTTGTCAGCAAGGTAGCTGATTTATTGTATCTCATTTGAGATACGGTAATACTCCACAATTTCTCTCAAGAAATATCCAAGGAGCCACACGTTTATCTCTAGCAATAGGCTAAAGTCCGAAAAAAAAAAGAATTTCAGCCACCCTAATGGTCCATATCAATTTGGCTCAAACACATCCTGTGGTTGATGGCTTTCTTTTTCTTCTTCTTTTCTTAGACTATTTCATCCTTACTTTTTGCTTAAGACTCAGCCCGCTTTTAATGTACTAGACGGCATTTGGGAGAAGCAACTTGCTTTTGTGGCCAGTCGCAATATTTTTAACATCATAAATCAGGCTTATATTTCAGTAAATCATCAAACATGCGACAACTTTTAAGCGACACTGTTTGCGCTGCGCCAATGCCAACTGCTAATGCTGCTAATGGAAATTGTACATTAGAGATTGCCGCCTGTCGACGGTAGTTGATGGTTTCGATGTTTTGTTTTTAAAATTTTTTTTTTTTTTTTTTTGAGTTTGGTTATCACAACAGCATCAAATGTTGCTTGAACACCCCTTCAAGTGTCAGTTACATATTGTCGAGACAACAAAATGCTTCGCTCTTCATGCAGCAGGAAAACGAGTCCCAAAAAAATGAACGAAAATAAAAAATCAACGTAAAAAGGTTTTGAGAATGAAAAAAAAAAAAAAATGTTTCAGAACAAAATTTGCATACGCAGCAACCGATGAGGCAGCAGCTGAACAGGATGCGGTCTGGATGCGGAAGCGGACCAGGATGCGGTCCTTTTGCTATTTGCTGTTGTTGTTGCTGCTGTTGCTGTTGCTGTCGTAGTTTTTGTCTATGCAGGAAGTGTGTGCACATTGGAAATATTGTTGAATCTCTGTAAAAACAACGTCAAAGAAATAGCTACAAAATACCGCTAAACTCTGCCAGTCATTCGACAGCTGTCCAGCCAAAAAAAAAATGTGAGTATGAAAAAAAAAAAAAGAGTTCGATTTTCCAGAAGCAGCCAACCTCCCCTTAATTTGGGTATAATTTTTTTCGTAAATTAAATAGAAATCATATGCAAATTTAAATTGAGTTTTCGATTAACCCTAAAAAGGCAGCCGCGCCCAGCGAACAGAACAAAATCATATTTAGTTACACGTAGCCAGGGAATTGGCTCTCACTCTCATTCGGTTTTCGATTTCACGTCACGTCGACGTGTTTAAGTACGCATCATTTGCTGTTTGTTGTAATTTAATTGGTTTGCCTTTCGACAGGTAACTTGCACCAGTCTCAGTCAGAGTCTCAGTCTCAGCATCTGCCTAGCCTCTGGCACTGTTGTCAATGAGGCAACTAATTTATGCTGCAGCGAAAGGGTTGAAGATTCTTTATTCCTTTGCTCGGCTGCACGTGCAGCCTTCTCGAGGAGTGGCTTTATTAATTATTATTCTAATTAATAGCAAGGAGCAGACGATGTGACGCTTAATAAAAAATATAAAACCAGAACGCCATCCTGTTATCCTGCCAGCTTGCCAGCTTGCCAGCCTGCCAGCCAGGCTGCCAATTTGCATATGAGTGACACAACAGGACATTTGCTTCCTGTCACGCAGCCTGCAAGCAGCCACTGACAAAGGCCAAGGCGTCGATGAGACTGGAGTCAAGGCACGTTTTCTGAGAGTGGCTGCCTCGAGGAGCAGCAGGCCTCATGCATTATGCAAGTGAGGCGAAAGACGCGTGAGAAACTCCCAGGATGCTAATTGTCAGGGTCGATCTATGCGCGCAGCTGCCCCGTGTATGATAAGCAAACAGTTTATATATCTAATCTATTAGCTGATTACTAATAAGCCGCTCAACAGGTTTCCACAACAGCTCATCAAATCATCAATGCTATTTGCAATATTCAAAACGCCCCGTCAATTTGCCAAATGCTGAGCTCTAATACCCATTGATAGTTTCGAACCCTCGCGCTCAACCCTCGTGTATTGCTGTTTGCCAATCGCCTATCGATCGCTTGCAGTTTTGCAAATTGACTGAGTCAAATGTCAAAGCAATTAAGTCACAAAATCGAATCCCACTGCTGAGGGTCGCCATCCCCTCGCCAACTTTCTAAATGTGTGTTCTGTCTTTTGTATGTGCGTTTCTCTTTTGTGTCATTTGCATTGTCATGTTTGCTAATTCCCCTTGTTGTGTGTGGCCTTTTTGCGCCTATTTTCGCAATTTCACTTTCACCACAAGCCGCTTTCTTTTGTTAGCGGCCATCGGGGGTAAGCCTCGGCTCAAAGTGTGCCAAATTTTTGGGCGTGCTAATTATGAAGTGCTTATGACAGCATTCAGAGTCGGATTACATCTTGTTTGCGTTATATTCAATTAATCAACAACGCGATGAAAGGGAATGTGTGAAAGAGAAAAGTATTGTAAATATATCTTTAATATATAAATTCCAAGTCTATTTTTATTTAGGTATTTATTTTAGGTAAAGGTTTTGATACTTTAATATATCTTATTATTATTTACAATTATTATTCAGAAATTGCTCAGGGACTTTAATGATCTGAGAGCATTTGTATTACAATATTCAATAATTAAATATGAGGAATATGAAGATGTTAAAGGAAAAGGAATTAATTTTTGAATAGGCTAAGTCTCATTATTATTATGATTATTATTTACAAGCTTCATTTTGATTTCAGCTTTTATATTATTATTATATTAATATGATACTTTAATGATATGGAAAATATAAATATATTTAAGTTCTATTGCTTTGTCATATGATTTGCACTCAGAAATGGTAATCGTATTTTGATGATACGATCCTTGCAAATGGGAAATCGATATATAATATTTGTATACAAACGTATGTAACAAGTAGAAGGAGGCGTGGCAGACCACTATAATGCATGTATATGCTCTTGATTGATGATGGGCTGAGTTGATGCAGAGATCTCGTAAGCCACAAAAGAAAAAGAGAAGAAGAAGAAAAAGGAGGGTTCAGCAGATCGTCGAGTTGAGCAATCTGGACTAGAGCACAATTAATATTACAATGATTGATATAAATAAATTTATAATATATAAATAATGCAAATAACAATTTAAAAGAAATGTGGATATATTAACATACATATGTGTATTTGCAAACGGAAAGCTTTGATGGTCTGACAATAAACGGTAAATATTAAAATTATTAGCAAGCAATGAAGGCTAAACAAATTAAGACCACGCTAATTGAGCCATTATATAGTTTAGAACGACGCAACCAATTGGCCTATTAAGTTGTCAATATTTTGACATTTGTGTGAGGCTTTCGCTGCAATAAAAGTAATATCCTCCGTACACTGCCACGCAGTCCACGGAAAGGCTTCACTTGTTTCGCGTCCCATCCTTAAGACTTAGGACATCAGCAATGGCGAAGACGGCTGTGTCTCGGTTTGCTACGATTATTAGACTTATTCGATTCTGTGTTAAGTGCTGTGGCACCGATGTCTCCAATCCTAACTATCGTATGTGGGCATGGACTTATGTCACCATTGTCACCATATTCGCATACTTCGGGTTCACCGGATATACAGTGTATGTGGCCGTGCAGATGAGGGAATTCGCGACCATTTTGCAGGCAATTGCGACGGCTGGTTCGGGCGCTCAAGGACTAGTGAAGCTGGTGTGCTGCGTGGGTAAAGCTTCGTTAATACGAAATATACAACACACCTACGAGTCCATGTACAGGGAGTACGAGGGCAGAAGCGGCGTATACACCAAGTATCTGCACCAGCGCATCAATAACTTCTATTACCTTGTGCTAGGCTTCGTCTTTATCTACTCGACTACGGTCATCACAATGATCTGCTTTCCCCTGTACGAGCTCATCGTCTTGAGCAAGAAAGCCATGATCTTGCACTTCCTGATACCAGGCGTCGATCCCAACTCCGACACTGGATATGTGATTATGTTTGTTGTGCACTCCATGTTCTTGATAGTGGGCGCATTCGGCAACTTTGGCGGCGACATGTATCTATTTTTGTTCATTATTAATATTCCGCTGCTGAAGGACATATTTAGTGAGAAATTCAAAGAGCTCAACGAGCTGGTCGTGCAGCCAGACAAGTATGAGGAGATGCAAGCCGTGCTCTGGGATCTGCTGACCTGGCATCAGAAGTACGCAACGTGAGTATTTCACAGAGCAGTTCCAAGCAGTCTCCTCCGGATTTTGATTTATTGTAGAATATTGCGAGGGACAAAGGAAGTATACACGTATGTCATGTTTGTCCAGCTCTTATCAACTTGTTATGGCATTCTGTTCACTATCTGCTGCATCTTCATGAAAAACTGGCCCACAGCGCCATTCTACTTATTATATTGCTTCATCGTGCTCTACTCCTTTTGCGGTCTGGGCACCATTGTAGAAACCACGGTAAGCGCATTGACTAGATAATATTCCTAATACATATGATGCATTTCTTCATAGAATGAACAGTTCACGAATGAAATTTACTCGAACTGCTTGTGGTACGAGATGCCAGTGAGGGAGCAGAAGCTCATCATTCTCATGCTGGCCAAGTCCCAGGACCAGCGCTCCCTAACTGCGGCGGACATGCTCCCACTGTCGATGACAACTGCTCTGCAATTGACCAAGGCCATCTACAGTTTCGGCATGATGATGATTACGTACTTGGACTACGAGATATAAGAGCGAGATTATCAATCGTCGATGCGTGAGAAAGTTGCTCTTAATACATTATTCTTTTGCTGGGCCTCTTTCACTTTAAATATTATATTATATTTAGCAGAAATGCTGCTAGAATTTTTGCACTTAACTGATGAATAAAATCGTACTAGCATACATTTAGCTGTACTGCAATTATTATTTATGTATATACATATATAAGTAAATTTCATTTTTCCTTCTAAATAATATTTGACTTGCAAACGACTAACGACTTTGTGGCATTCCGGATCCACCATTATTTTATTACTCGATATATTCGATAGTGATTGAGTTCACTCACGGATATATCATTGCCTCATAATTAGGAAAGCGTTACTACAAATTGTTCAACTCCAGCCCAAACACGAATATAATCTCAATAATTTCATTAGTTCCTAAAAGAGAGAGTCTTTAAACACAATTTCATTTATATTGGAAATATTCTAGTGATACAAATTATTATAGTAATTATACCCAATTTCAACGTAGGCAACAATCTACGAGTAAGCAATACGGCAATAACATTTGTGTTATTTAGTATTTGTCTGCTTACATTGTTGACTCAACGCTACAATGAAATTCTTATGAATTCAGTACAAAACAATTTCCTTTATGCCGTTTTCTTTCTTCTTTGCCCCGTCCAGCAGATTCGGCAGATAGGGGCGGCGGCTAAGCGAAATTGGTTTTTAAAAATATTTCACATTTCAATTTTTCGCTTTCACTTGCCCCGCCCCACTCGCCGGCAGCAATGCGTAGGCCTTGGCGGCTACCTTCTCGCAAGTTATGGGTGCGCATTATAATAAAAGCCACGACCACTGCCACTGCTCCTGCCACTGCCATTGGGGTGGGGCTCCTGAGAGGGCCAACCGCTTTGGCTTTTACTGTCTGCACAAATAACAATCAAAATTTTCGTGGCGTTGCCTGGGCAGCCGCTCCGTAATCTTGGAGCGGAGGATAAGCGTGGCTCGTGGCCTGGAAATTGCCATTGCGGTTGCCACTGCCTACAGTCCTGCAGAAATTACAGGTGCCTAATGCAAATTTGTGTGCGGCATATTTTGTGGCTGGTGTTTGAAAATTTAAATAAAAATAATTCGGAGTTTTTGTGCCGCGTTTGCAGAAATCAATTTTTCGTTGTAGCTAAGCACAGCGTCGTCGCACAGCTCAGCGCTGCGTCGTCTGATGTTGATTCGATTTGACTCGCAGTCGCAGTCGCAGTGCCTGGTCTTCCAGCTGATTGTCATCATTCAGGCTGAAAACAGATTTGCCTCCAATCAACGTGCACTTAATTTCGTTTATTTGATTGGATTTGTGTTTACATGGCTGCCTAGGCAGACATTCATATAGCCATAGACACAGACACAGATAGAAGAGATGCGGCCACACACACAGACACAGGCATAGCCACAGCCAAAGGCTGAAACTCAGATTTAAATTCGTTTGGAGTTTTTTGGTCGCTGCGGCAAATTAGAAAATCAAATCAGTTGCCCACTTGCGCCGCCTCGTTGATGCAACAAAATTTCTGAATATTGAAAAATTTATAGAAATATTTGCAAAATGTCTCGCACAGCCCCACAGTCAGCTACCCTCAAACCTCAAAGCTGAGACTTGCCAAAAATAACCAAAAAATATATATATATGTATATACATAAAAAGAAAAAAAAAAAAAAAACATGGCCACGGAAGTTGTGCACACATTTTTTTCAACCATTTTTCCAATGATGGATTTTCGAAATTTTAATGGTCGCTCGCTGCTCGGGTGAGCAGGCGCTGAAGAGCCAAGGCAGCCAAGTCCCACAACTCAGTTGGCAGTTCGCAGTTCGCTGTTCTCACTAGTGAGCTCGCAGTCGAAGTCAAAATCCCCGGCGCCTTCACGAACGTCTGGCATTGTCAGAGGGTGTGCCCATGCCCCTGCCAGAGCCAGAGCCCGTGCTCCTGCCTGTCAGCTTCAAAGCCTGCCAGCCTGCCAGCCTGCCTGTGGGTGGTGAGTTTTTTTTCTCTTGTTCTCTTTTTTTTGGTTTTCTGTATTTTTTGCTGCGTTCTTTTTTTCATTTCCTTTGTTTGGTGGCCATTGAGGGTAACGTTATAGCTGTGGGTGTAAACTTAAGGGATGGAATCGATATTTGTTTTCTATAACAAGCATCAGCCACCCAACAGACGCCGGCCTAATCTAATGCGCCTCGTGCGCGTCTCAGGGGCACATGACACAGCTCGGCTCTCTGAGGCCTGCTGATGTTTACCGTTGTAGCTGCCACCACCACCAACCTGTCAACCTGAACACCCACCCGCCCTCGGCCATCGACGAGTCGCTTCGCTCCGGTCCTAATCAATATGCGCAAATGATAATTTTTAATGGCTTCCGAACGCGTTTGTTTATCGGCAACATTGCTGATTTAGCCATATTTGATTTTGCGCGCCCAGCGCAAATTTAATTTTAATGCCGTCTTCGACGCCTCAGCAACCAAACGGAAATTTAATTTCCAAGCAACTTTTGACGGCAAACTGCTCTCGCTCAGCTCTCCTTCACTTCAGCTCCACTTCAGAGAGTTCTACTTAATGCCGCCCATATGCGGCAGCTTTACTCTGTCCCGGCTCGCAGTGCCTCTCCATCTCCCTTCACCCTCTCTCGCTCTCTTGCTCTCTCTTAGCGTTCTTTGTCTTCGGTCTCTGGCCCGATATTTAAATGCTAATTGCTTTTTAATACGGTAATTTTGGCTGCTCGGCTGCTGTTCGAGGCGGGCTTATTGCGGATTAATTTTACAAGCTAATTTCTTATGTAAATGCCGCATTGCATGTTGTTTTTCCACAGGGCTCGCGGCTCGGCGGGGGGCTCTGCCTCCGGCGTTGGGGTTAGGGCCGTGCTTCGACAGGTAGAAATGGTAATTCGAAGGCGTTAGCTGTAGTTAGAAGGTAATTTAAGTTATAATAAATATTTCAGTTGCAACTTAAGTTGCGTCTCGCAAGCGCCGGCCGGCCTGCCACCTGGAATCTTTCCTAATGATATGCATGGGGGGTGTGCTACGCCTCAAGACAAAGGCACAAATCGTTAGCCATTGATAACGAAAATGCCCGATTTGTTGCTAAGCACTTAGGCATGGGTATTATTGAGCTACGACAGCCCGCTTTGAGACCGGGAGAGATTATAATCTCGGTTAAAAACAGAATTCCCAAACCAATCAACAGCAAGGAGACTATTGCGGCTTATACTATTATTTGATCAAATATTGCACAAATTTGATTTTAAATTAGTTATTTAAATACAATTTTGAAAACTAATAATTATGATTTAGCATAATTTATAGACAATAAAAACAAAACATTAATGAAATTGTCTATTAACTCAGACAGTATTTTGCAGATAAATACGTATAAAATAAGAATGAAATGTGAATATAGTTTATTTAAATAATATATTATGTAAATACGTTCTTATCCAACTTGATGTCCTTGCCAAAAGCACAGCTAGAATCAGCAATTCTCGCCATTTTACTATCGCTTTCATCACTTTTTATTCAATGAAATTTTATACGTTTGCCAAGGCAAATATTGAAAGAGAAAAAAAGTCCTCGCTGATTATAAAAGTGAAATCGTATCCATGCTAATTTTATACCATCATTCAAAACAAAAACTGAAAACGAGCTGACAGGCCGAACTATGGGACAATCCCCCAAATGCGGACAAAGACAGACACAGACACAAACCGACAGATGCACGGCATATTAATCTCAAACAAACAGATATCGTCGAGCCATTTCCTATCACACAATCACACACACACGCACACATAGACAATACTCGATAAAAAAAAAGGAAATCTCGCTTTAAAATCCTTTTTTTTTCGGTTTGCCTCTGGCTCGTTTAATGCTAAATTATATCCGTATGCAAATAAGTTTTTTTCCCTTGATTTTTTCATTAAATCATGACGATTTGACAGAAAATGCTGAAAAAACAAGCGACGGAAAAAAACAACGTCGAGAGAACTGATTGCCGTGGTCTCGATACGGGCACTGTGCAAAGAAAGGGTTGTCTAGCCTTTGTGCCCGAGGTCACAGAACGTACGGCTCAGTAAAAGGGCAAGAGCGAAGGACGAAGGGCAAAGGGCGCAAAGGGCGCAGGGACGAGGATGCAGGGATAGTCCATTTAAAGCGACCTGAGACACTTTTAGTTTGTTTGTTTGCTTTTGCCTGTTCGCTGTCAACTCGACTGGAGGCATCAACTGAAGGAAAGAAGAAGCAGATGAATGTGAGGATGTGGATGCAACGTCAATTGAATTTCTTATAATACTAAATACTAACTTAGGATAGAATGTGAATGAAATAAATATATAAATATATCAGCTGTAGGAAACTATTGATCTGTTATTGATCTCTTTCATCTTTAATCTTCTCACTCTAGCTAGCTCTCTCACCATTCGTCCGTTTTTCGACCAAGGCTCAGTTCCAATAAATATTGATCTTCCAATCAACTGAAAGCAACCCCTAAATCAATAATACAATCACAATCTGGGCACAGCAGCGCCGCCTGGCGTTGAGCGGCAGCCGATCCAGTGCCTTCCAAACTGTGAACAGTATACGCCTCTGGCCTGGTTTACCTCTCGCTAATTCTGGCTTTGCATATGCGCCTATATAGGACAACGACTGCATTGAACTGCAGCCTGTCATTACACTCAACTACAAACTCATTAATGCAAAATAAACAACTGCAACAGGGCACAGTGTCGGCATTGCAATTTGCATGCAGCCTATGCATGCATGTATGCGTGTGTGCGTACAATATATACATCGATCCATCATCAACGAACTGGCAACTGACCCATAATAAGCTCGCAATTCGAGTGCGTGTGCAACTGGGCCGGGCAGCCAACTTTCGATCAGTGACACAGGTTGCAAGTGCCGAGTTGTGTAAGCGCAATTTACAATTTGCAGTTGCCATTCCCCAGTTGCAGGTTGCAGTTGCTGGTTGCCAGTTGCTGGTTGCTGGTGGCTGGTGGCTGGTTGCTGGTTTGCCGTTACCCAGCCCGCCCCACTTGGCGGCGAATGTCGCCTTGCAATTAACACAAGTGCCCAGCGACGATGCTCCTGTTCTCAGAAGTGCCCCAGCTCGTTGTCCTTCGCGCATTCAGCTCTTGTTGTTGTTATCCTCGTTGTCGTACTTAATATCTGAGGCGTGCGTCACAAGCAGCATGCGCGGCACTGTCATTAAAATAATGCATACACATGTGAAGTATGTGGGCAGTTGGGGTAGCAGCAGAAGCAGCAGCAGAAGCAGAGGCAGACAGACACACAGCGAGGGGGATAGGGAGACTGCGAGAGAGAGAGAGAGAGTGACAGGGAGGCTGAACAGCACAGTGAGTGAGGTAGGTAGGAAGGTGTTTATTAACAGATCGTTTGCCCAGCTCTGTGATGCATGCACTCTCCAGGGCTGAGTGTCATTGAAACGACGCTGCCGCTTCTGCTGCTGCTGCTGCAGTTGCCCCTTCAGCTCCCCTCCCCAGACACATCAGACTTAATCAAGCATTCGAGCAGAAAATCATGCAAAGTGTCGACCAGTGCGCAATATGTTTAAAAATAATTATAATAACATGAATTATGAAATGTGTAAGTGCTACACACACACTTGCACACACATACACACATGTGGTGGGCTATTATTATTAGTAGTAAATGGCCAGGTTTTTTTTTTTTTTTTTTTTTTTGGCCCAGTTTACATGCAGCTTTTAGCCTGATTGTCATCTTTATGAAGACATAACGACTCGGCCAGCCAATGAAGCTCGTCCAGAAACGGCATCTGGCTCGGTCCCAGCCCCAGCCCCAGCCCCAGTCTGCAGTTCCGTCTTTGGGGCTTGCGTGCAAGGAGCCCAAGCATTGTAATTAGAATGCACAACACCAATGTCTGGGCCATTAAGTATATGGCAAAATTGAATTATGCGCTTTTCATGTTAATTTTTTGGCGCTTGTTGTAATTTGTTTTTGACATGATATACCTCGCTAGGCTACCCAAGAACCAGCTAGGTAATAAACATACATATAAATAAATAAATATATTAATGTAGTGAGAGAGAGAGAGTGGGGAAGCTCAGCTGCATCTGTACTTCCTGAATTCAGCTGGTTCTATTTTTTGCATTTGATGGATCGTTAGTTTTATTATGGCTGTCATATATCAACACTAAGATTGCAATATAGATATATATTTAATTAACATTTATACAAAGCTTGTATTATTATTCCTTGGAAACACAAAATAAATTCGCATTTTATATATTTCTCCCTTATATATAACTTAAGCTACAGTTTCATCCATTCATTCCGACAAACTCTTAACTTGTGGGAAAATCTGTTCAAACGTGAGACTTAATTGACATTCGAAACCAGTTCGGGCACCTTGTGCTCCTCAGGTGCACTAATAAAGTGCCGGGCAGAAGAGTTAAGGCGCATCGTGCTTCGCTTACGCCACTCTCATTACCAAAAACTGGGTCTGTCCAGCTATCCCTCCAGTGGCGGGAACTGATGTGGCTGGCACCCAGAGGTTGCGATGATGGATGTGTTGCATTTTGGACGGAACTCAAATATAATTATATTTAATTTGAAGCGAATGCATGTAAGGAGAGCTCGAGAATGCCTTCGACAGCATTTTGCGAATTTCGTTCACTCGTCCGCCGCTCGTCCTCGTCGCTGCTGTAGTCGATTTGTTTGGTTAACGGTGCGAATCCTAACGCCGGCCAGCCACTGAGACAGCCAGCCGCTTGCCCAGCTCCTGTTCGCTTCCTGCCCGCTCCCAATGCTGATTGAAGGGTTTCATGTCTTGTGGCATCGGCACGCAAAGTGCTGCATGTTTACACTGGCGATTATCCCCGTGCGCTCTGTTTGCACCCCAAAACTGCCTCGAAATGAGGAGATAATTTGCTGACCGAGAACTGATCGATCGAACGCCGATCCTGCGAGCTTTCTTGCTTAACGGCTTAAGCATTTCTTGTTTGTTTTCTTTTAATTTCGGTGCCTCTGCCTCGGTATGCTCAGTCCCGATCGTTAACGCAAATTAACGAGCAATCATCAAATCGAAGTCGAAGTTGAAGTCGCTCAGACCCGTTCCACTCTACCCCGTCTCCCCTGCCCCTCCTCCAACGCTAGCGTTTATTTTGAAATTAATGCACAAATGCAGTGGCAGCTGCAGCAGAGCAGCAGAGCAACTGTGCAACAGTGCAACTGTGCAACTCCATCAGCCTGCTGCATTTTCATTAAGCATTGCAATTACAACGGCCGGACTCAGCCTTAACCAGCCTTAACCGGCCGCACAGTTAGTATGCGCGGCATTTACAACATAATTCATGGAGCGCGCTGGCCGTCTGCAAGCCCCGTAATTACGAATAGTCATTTGGTCGGCTTATTAATTGCTTTTTAATATTTTCAGACTGCAAAACAATTTTCACAATTTTTACAATTTCGCTGCGGCATCTTGTTGCGAAATATTGAAATTAATTTCTGCATTATCAACTTTTACATATTCATGTATAAATTTTAACGTTATTTATTGCTCGCATATTTCCAGCTTGGCCTTCCCACAGCAAACAATTTAAAACCATTTAGCGAGAAGTCAACTTTATTTCGAGTTATTTTTATGCTTCATGCTATCAGCAGTGCTGGAATGAACTGCTTGCCAGCTGCAGCATCCTTTGCACTGCTTGTTTGTTCATCCGTCCTTCGTGCTTCCAAGGTTAGGCAATAGATGGCGCCAGCACGCAGCTGATGGGAGTTGAGTGTAGCTTACTGATTTATAGCTGGAAAAGAACAAAGCAAAATATTGAGAAATAATAATTTATAATTTAAAAAAAAAAAAAAATATATATTAATCAACAATTGCAAATAAAAATACTATTTTAAATATGTTTGTCTAGGATCTTTCTGTGGTATAGATTACGTATAATCGTCTATAAATTAAACTCATTGAAGCTAAATATAAATACATATCCTAATTTTAGTCCCAGGTTATTTGGTATATGGAGGACTTATTGCCTGACTCATAAATCACATTTTGACAGTTTCTAATTTTATATTTTTATGATAATAATATACAATGTTCGTGCTTTTTGATTAATTTGAGCAATATAATAAACAATTTCGATTCACTTAATATACAAATTTTTTAAAATATCTATCTTCACTCTAACTATCTGAATATTTATTCTTCCATATGAATTCGTATCGTAGTCATCCAGCTGCTGCGACTTGACATGTTCACACAGTGCATCATCCCTTTCACCTTTGTGCACTAATTAAACAAAAGGAAACCCTTTCACACCTCACAAGGGAAAAAAAAACTGTTACAACTCCTTTTGTCTGTCATATGGTGAAAAATTTGCATAAATTTTGCGCACAATCAGAAATGGCAAAAACCAAAACGCGCTAAAATATTAATTTTCACAGTGTGACGCGTCCTCCAACCTCTCTGGCTGTGCGCTGGCATTCAAATGCAAATGCAAATGAGGCAACAATGACAACAACAGCGGCGACATTTGATCGTTTTTTTTTTTTTCTCGTTTGTCGATCCTCGCTCAGGTCCTGTGCATAGTCATTTCTTTTGCGCAGGACTTTGCATATAAATCATTTTTCTTTATTTCTTTTTAGCTGAAAAGGATTACAACCCCAAGTGTTAAGGAATTTGCATAGGGGCTGCCCTCCGGCTCAGCTTACACATGTGGAAATAGAAAAGCCAAAAAATATACTTCGGCTGCCTCGAGGCGTGTGAACTCGCATGTTTGTTAATTCAATTAGCGACGTTTGGGTATTTTCCGGGAACTGGGGTAAGAAAACTTTTGCTGGCCGCATTGCGAATGTTTTTCGAAAACTTTTTCAACTGCTGCAATTGTTTATGTATTGCATTTTGACTGGCTGTTAACATGATTTATCGAATGCGGCCCAAAGCGAGACTCGATCCACAGGCCCAAAAGTGCTCTGCTAGAGCAGCGTCAACATGCCACTGTTGGCGACTATTGATGTGGATGGAGCTGGGGATGGGGATGTGAATGGGGCTGGGGATGGGGATGGGGATGTGAGTGTGCGTCTGTTTGCTAAAGGATAACAACAACAAGGACAGCTAATACACAATTTGCATATATTTATCCATCAAATTGATGGATGCTACTGCACACTGAGCCAGGACCAGGCAAGAGACAGCCAAGCGTGGCGTTGTTGCTTTGACACGTCGCAATACCCCCAAAAGGATAATGACAAAGACAGCACCAGCCACGACAATGCCACACACAACCACACACACACACACACAGGCAAATACATACACACGTACGTACATACGGAGGCATATAGACACACATACACACATGCATAAGAGAAGCGTGAGCAATTTGCAAGGCGCTGGTGAAAAAGGGCAACAGGAAACTGTCGAGGCGAAGCGCAAGGAGCAGGGAGCATCCTTTAAGTTTCCTTTTCGCCTAGGTACCAAGCCAGCCAGCCAGCCAGCCAGCCAGGCAGCCAACCAACCGACCGACACTTCAATCGTGCGACGTTCGACGAGGACAACAACGACAACGAACAACGAGCAACGAGGATGACTGCCATGAGAAAATTACATTTTCTCCGGAAAAGCACTCAACCCGAAGACATTTTCCGTTGGCAGTGGCAACGCCAACTGAGAGCGGGCTCTGCCTTCTGCCGCCGTGGAGGAAGACAGCAGTGCGGTAAAAGAGGATTCCAAGCAAGCTGAGGGTAGCTGCCATTGCCATTGCCATTTCAAGTGTCGCACACGCACACCTACACCCACATGGCTAGAGAGGCATGGGCGTGTGTGTGCCTGTGTGTGTGCGTGTGTGTGTCTGTGCGCTGCTTTATATCCTTTCGCCGTTGCTGCCTGATAACAAAATTTTCTATTTTATCTCATAAAAATATATATATGTATGTATGTATGTCTGTACACACATACATACATATATAGATGTTAGCATGTAGACCATGTACTCGCGACAACAACAACGACAGCTAAGAAAAGCACATTTTTACATATATATTTTATGTTGCGATTTGCATGCCGTTGTCCTCTGGGTGTCCTCGCTGCTGCTGCTCCTGCTCCTGCTGCTGCTGCGTAGGCAACACCAGGAGCTACAGTTGTTTTGGGCAACAATCGATATTTCATGTGCGCACAATTAAGCGCCAGAGCACAGCCAGCAAAGTGGCCCAAATCAGGCGAAGCTGCGAGCAATTGCGATTTTCCATTGCCTACTTTGAAGCGCCGTCCAACCCTTTTTCGGCGCCTCATCTGCTGCAGATGTTTAATGAACAGCTGCTCGCGTCGCGCTGCGAAACTGGCGATAAAAATAAAGAAAGCGCGCAACAGAAGTTGAGCAAAAATTAAAAGAAAATGAGCAAACGTCGACGTCGACGTCATCAGCTGTTGCTGTTGCTGTTGCTGTTGCTGCGCTGTCGTCATTAGTGAACGGCAATCGAGGGTCGCGCGGCGGGGTGGAACGGAACGGGCGAGTGGGTGTAGCTGAATGAATGAAAATGAAAAGCGCGCAAATGAAAATGAGCGCCAAAGCACGTGTTGCCGACTCGCAATCCGAAAAGAGAGAGAGAGAGAGAGAGTGAGAGTTTAGAGATGGGAGAAGCTGGACGCGACTAATTGCGATAGTAGAGCTGAAAGAGCGGCAAATGAGAATTTATTGCGAATAAATCTATAAGCGAATTCGGTAATTCTCGCAAATACTGAAACATTTGGAATGAGCTGCATATATCTACTTCTATATATTCGTAATTTGAGCTGATATGTCATGTCTCAGATATTACAAAAGAGCCTAAAGTAGTTAGAAATTTAGAGAATGAATATATGATATATGATAGAATATATAAAATAAAATAATTAATTAACGAAAAATAATTAACGAAAACATAATTAGTATATAGAAGAAAGAAATGCATGAGTATTTTGGGAAAATTCAATAGTAATATCAGTAAGAATTTATATACGTATATATCATAGAATTGTTATAATAAGAAATTATAAATACATTATTAAACATTTTATCTGTTTTTTTTTTAAGATTGTAATAAATATTTACATTAAAATTTTATTTTTTAAATTCAACTACTTTCTACTTTCTTTATGTCATATCTTATAAAATATGTATATAAATATTATTAATTATTAGTTGTAATAAAAACAACTTTGGATATTAAATACGATAATAATAGGACGTAATTAATTAATTAAGTATTTAATTAAGTTCGAAACATCTCATACTCATTATTATATATCATATCCCATACATATAATGGCATAGGATATCATATAATTTTAATTTATACTATATCATATAAATATCTACTCTACCCAAATCATTTAAATTCGTACCATCTATCTTGCTATCTCTCTTCCTCTCTTTCTCGCTGTTTGCCTTCTTTGCCATCAGCTGAGATTCACAATTAAAAAGCAACAACAAGGCAATTGCCTCATTCCACAGCAGCCATAAGAGAATCATCCCAATTTGCCGGGGCATCTGGTGCGCCGGCACGTCGCTATTGTTGTTGTTGTTGTTGTTGTTGCTGGTGCGTGTCCTTGAACTAGAAACCCGTTTAATTTAACTGTTGCTTAATTGCTGGCTGCGACGCCGACGCCACATTACGTCACTCAATTTCTTCTTTTTTTCATTCAGCACTGGCAATGGAGATGGCTCTGCTGCTCTGTCGCTGTGGCTGCGACTCTCACTGCCGCTCTGCTCGATGCTGCTGCCAGTGCTGCTGCTGCCGCTGCCGCTGCTGAAAAACTTCATTTTTGGGTAATTTTCGGTAGTCTTTGTTTCTCATTTTCATTTTCATTCATTACGTGCCGAGCGACGCGTCGCTTTGGTTGCGTGTACGGGGCGTAGTGTTAATTTCCACGTCTCGAAAGCCAAAATGTTCCCCATAGCAATTATGCGGCACGAAACGGAATGGAACGACGCTACTGCTTCTCCTGCTGCCGTTGTTGCTTCTAGTGGTGGTTGAAGTTGCTCTCACACTCGCTCAGGCAGAGCAGTGCGAGTGAACGAGCGATTGCTGGCCTCTGCCACTGACAGAGATGGCGAGAGAATAACGACGATAGCGGGCAGGACGCTTGCGCACTGGACGCTGCTATCGCTGCTGTCGCTGCTGCCGCCGCCCTGTTTCCCCTGGCACTCGCAGAGCCGGCGAAGCACCGTGTGCAGTCGTAAAGGCAAATAATGGTGGCTCGGTCTGCCGCCTCAGGCATGGCGTCAACTGCGGCAGCAGCAGAAGCAGAAGCAGCGACAGCAGCAGCAGCAACATCGATGCTGGCAGCCGCAGGGGCTGTACGAGAAATTTGCATGCGCCCAAAATCGGGTTAACTATATGGGTGTATGTGTATACGAGCAGAGACAGAGGCTGTGGCGCATTGGCCATAGGCGAGGGGGCGAGGGGAGCCGAGCAAGAGGCTGCCTGGAGTGGGTCGCCCACTGCTTCAACAATATTGCTGTATTTTTGAAATTCCAATTTGCATATTTTGATGTGCGTCATTGTCGTTCGACTCTGCCACCAGCCCAGCAACCGACTGACAGACAGACAGACCGACGGACAGCCGCACTGACTGTCTGACAGTCGTTCTTTTCACTCATGTAGCTGCTCAGCGAGTTGAGTTAAATATTTGATCAATTTCGTAAAGTTGTCTATGCCCGCTCTCAAAGGCAAAGGCAGCACTCTGGCTGCAGCCAGACAATCGATCCACAGCCGAAATCAATTAGTAGAATGTTCTGACACATTTAACGACGCTACCACACAACCACCAGTTGCAGAGCTTCATTGGGGACCGCGTGGGTTATTCACCTTTCCGCATTGTCCTGCGCTGTGCGAATAATCAACAAAGCGTTAGACGATAATGACGGCTCGGGCGACGCGGCGCTTAATGAATGCGATGCGAAAAGAAGAATGCAAAACAATAACTTCGAGGCGGAAGCGCCGGCATCACCTTGACCTTGAAACCCACATTTAAAATAATTCACTCGTTAGCGCAGAGCCAGAGTCAGACCCACAGCTACAACTTCATTATCATCATCAGCAGCAGACGCGGAGGTCGCGTCGCAGCAGCCGGCGCAGAGGCAAAGTAAAAACACAGAGACACAGCCATTATCTCATCAACGAAAATGAAAATGAGCGAAGCACCAGCAGCAGGAAGGAGCCACAGCAGCAGCAGCAGCAGCATCCACAAGCTAGCAGCAACAACAACGCTGAGTACAAGAGCCGCCCTCACAGGGCTCGGCGGCAGCGACGCCAGCGATGCTCCCACGGCCGGCTCATCAGCTGCGAATGCTCTCATTATCATTTATTCATTTTCGTTTCATTCATTCCCATTCATTTGGCGACGGCGTGCCGACGCTGGAGCTGCTGCTGCTGCTGCTGCTGCTCTCTTGTGGCTTGCGCCAAAACAAACTAACGAATGGAGCGCAGGAAGAGGACGAGAGCGACGCGGCCCGACGACTGCGGCGCAGCCCACAGAGCAGCGAGTGGGTGGGTGCAAGTAAATTTTTAATGGCTGAATGAAATTATAAGCTAGGCGGCGGCAGGTGGGGGCCAAAGGGGGACGCAACAGCCTGAAATAAATGAAATGAAACAAGCGGAGCTCAGCAGCAACAGCTGCAACGCTGCCGGCAACGGCAACAGCAACAGCAAAGTCGGTGTCGACGTCGACCGATGCTCCCTGACTAACTACGAACTTGGCTCATTTTCGCACAGCGGCAGCAATGACGTTGCCTCTGTGCCGGCTGTTGCACTCCCGTTTTAATGCAACAATTTTTCGCTCCTTTTTTTTTGCTGTTGGGGCTGCGACTCCTGCTCACCCACCCAGCCCGAATGGGGCTGCATTTGGCCTTGCGACCGAAACATGAAAACGAAAGCGAAATTAAAATGGCGAAATAAATTAATGGCCAAAGCGCGTGGGAGCTGTCACCATGCTCAGCAGAGTTCGCGGCACTGAGCAACGGCTGACTCCGCCGGAAATTGAAATGGAGCACAAAGCTGTTTAATATTCGCCTAGACGTGGGCATATGCAAATATTGACGGCGATTTATAATGCCGTAATCATTATAGTTTACCGAGGAGTTATGCATGAGGACATTATCGTGCTCCTGGTTACTATTTAATCACAAGGCTTATGCAAGATGTTAAATATCAACATAATATATTAAATATAACAAAACTTGAACATAACAAACGTTGTAAGATGTTTTTAATAATTAAAAGAACTTTTGGGCTTTGCATTGATGCTAGAAAGATTTTAAAGATGGTATTTAAATATTTAGTATAGCTGCGATAAAAATCAAAGTTAATTTAAATATTTAGAAAAAAAAATAGAAATTTGAAAAAAAAAAATTAAATTATAATAGCAAAGACTAAATGAGATTTAAGTATTTAGAAAAAAACAAATAGAAATTTTGAAAAAAAATTATAATAGGAAAGACTAAATAAGATTTTTCGAAAATAATTTCTTTCAATGTTTGCAATGAGAGTATTTTTTAGTCCATACGTTATCCGGATAGCGCACTCTTCATGATCCTCGTTAAATATTTTATTTATAATTCGTGCTTAAGTTAAATTTTTGTTTGTGACATTTTAATTTTAGTTTTTATAAATATCCATCTTTTCGTGTAAATCCTTTTGATAAGTCGGTTTTTTTTTCTGGGATGTTTGAAGTCAAGTAGTGCGCCTTGAATATTATTCTTCTTTCTAACGAATATTACTATCAAAGAATTTTTAGCAATTTTTTACAATTGATTTAATCTGAACTTTTTCTAATACTGAGTTTCATTTTTATTTAATTTTAAGAGGCATAAATTGTCCTGATGACGCTCAGTATATTCACATGTGGTTATGTAGAAAAATATAAGTTTTATTAGTTATATAAAGATTTGTATATTAATGTATTTTTTATTATTTAAATTTCATGATGATTTTACACCATTTAGATTTCGATTGAAATATCATTCAATGATCAATCAATTATGTCGCTAATTGAAATAAAAGCTAGAGATTGTGAGAAGTGAGCATTGAATGTCGGTTGAGGGCTTCCCGCGCGGCCGTTGCCAATAAGAACAACACCAATCAGACTCAATCTGCACATGCTGCAATCATTCCCTTTGTCGGATCAATCTCCCATCCTTGTGCAACTCTTTTGTTTGGCCAAAAGAAGAGTCAACTCTGTGCTAATTCAAAAGAAAAAATACAGAGAAACGACCAAAAGGCAGGCTAAAAGCTGTCCAATTGACAGTCAACACAAAGGAAGGCAACTGAGTCCGAACTGACCTTTCTTTCGCTTAAGCAGGACACTGCCCAAACGAAAAGAAAATGAAGGACAGCACAGGCACTGCACGACTATAAAGGAGTTTCCATTAGAGGACAGTTTCACAGTTTCTTTTCGCCCTTTGCTGCCTGGTTGATTAGAATCGAGCGACATGCATCACTGGCCCTGAATGGCTTATGGTTGCGAATATATCAAATATGTATATATTTATATATATTAGTCTGTATATGTGTGCGTGGGTTATTAAGGTACATATATGCGTGCGTATATTTGCAGTGATATTTATGCCTAATGGCCTTTATTTGGCAATGCTCTTTATTGTAAATAAGATTAAAGAGCGACGGGAGCTAAATGAAAAGCGCTTCCTTTGCAAAGGAAAATGGCAAATTTCCAGTACATTAATATGGCAGTCGATAAGGCAAACCGTGACGGGGGTGCCGAGGGGCGTGGCAGCTACAGCTACATGTGTGACATATCACATGACATTTTCCGCGTTGTATTTTCAAAGAGTTTTTTTTTATTTTTGCTTATTTTTTTTTTTTGCGAATTTCGCCTGCCTCGAAATTGAATAAAACAACCTGAAATGACAAACGAACGAACAGAGAGTGGCAGAGGTTGTTGCCAACAGGGTGGGTGCTGTATGTGTGTGTGTGTATGTGTGCTGCACGTGTGCACCCGTAATTTTCCATTTGTGAACTTTTCCCTTTTGCGCTGAGCGCTGTAGATTTTCACGCTTCCGGCGTGCGAGCAACATTGATGAAGCTGCTGCCGACCCAGCCGCAGCTTGACAGCCAGATAGAACCAACAGCAGCAACAACAACAACAATGGCCAGAGCTCACTAACAAGCTCTACATATATGACTCTCTCTGTGTGTATGCGTGTGAGGGTGTCAATTTGCAAAAAAAAATATTCGAAAATTTGCGTTGAGCAAAAATCGAAGTTTAAAAATAAATGGAAGACAAATGCTGAGCCGATGTTGTATGTTGTGTCCATGTTCTGTTTGTTTATGCAGACTATACGTGTGTGAGCCAGAAATTTTAAAATGGCTGCCAAGCACCCATATGTGGCCGTGTGTGTGAGTGTGTGTGTGTGAGTGTAATAAGATATTTTAGTGACTTGTGTCACAACGCGTGCAAATCCATCAAATGCGAATATGCGAAGGACGGAAGCCAACCCCACCGAATTCGCAGTACTCGCTCGCTTATTTGTAATGGGATCACAAACACACTTCAATTTCATTTGTGACGCTTTACGCACAAACACACAGACAGACGGATAGACGGATGGACGGACGGACGGGCAGAGAGACTGTCAGACAGACCGTCTGACAAGAAGGAAAATGGTGGGGTCTGCTGGTGGAGGGGGTGGCAGAGCGTATCAATCACAAATTAATGAGATGTGAGTGCCGCAGCTTTTGCCAGCTCCAACATTCGCTTGCCAGTTTGACGTTTTTCTTTTCGTTCGTTTGTGGCCCGCTTCAACTGCTGCTGGTTGCCAGTTTGACGCTTCTTTTTCATGTGATGGTGTCCTGGTTTTTTATTTCGCCTCTTGCGCTTTTAGTGCAGACCAAACAAATTCGCTCACTTTGGCATGCCTCGCATGCAAATGCCATTTCTCAGTCAAAATTACACAATTCATCACATTTCATTTGGCTTGACTTGAGTCAAGCAGCAGTCAAAGAGACCAACAGCGAATCCTCTTCACCCACTTCTGCTCCTCTCGGAAAAACCAACCTCCTTCTAATCCTCCCGCTCCCGTTGCGAATGTGTTTCCAATTCGGGTTTCACGAAATTGCCAGTTGGAGTTGCTAATGGGTTTTTCTGAACACACAGAGAGAGAGAGAGAGAGAGAGAGAGACAGAGAGAGGTTTCAAACGATGCCACTTGCCGGAGGAACCGTTGTTTCAGTTCTAATTGAAGTTAATTTTATTTGATGACATAAACAATTCAATTCTCTCTGTCTTGGGTGATTTAACTAAAACTGTAATAAACTAACAAAGTAGACAAGCAAAGAGGGAATCACTTGAAAATATCATTTATACTACTCCCTGCTTGATATATAGGAAACTTTCAGAACTAATTGAAAAATGATTCTTTGAAGTTAAAAACATTTCAATTGAGATTTTATCAGTTTTTAATTTATCAAGTCTTCTTTTATTTAAATATATATTTATTCTCTACTTCAGTCTCTGAATTCATATTTGCTTGATTTAGCAGCCACAGCCAGGACATGTTATTCTCAAATACATATGCTTCTGTCACCACTACATTCTCGCCATATCAGAGCTGTTGACTTTTACATTTAGTTAGCCACGTTTCTTTTCTAACCTCAATGAACAATTCACCATATCTGCGATTCCATAAAGTTGAGTACCCTGTCAGAAGCAATGTATATGCCTCGAAATACCCTGTTTATGGAAATTCATAAATGAGATTATCGTTTGAGCTTCCTTATCAACATCGGAAGTTCTTTAACAACTGCTATATTTTTCTAGCCAATCCAGTGGAGTGGAGTGGAGTTTAAGAGTGGTGGAATGAGCTCTAAGAAATGGGTTTCGCTTAGGAATTAGAAAATACATATAACCGGAACTTTACTATAAATAAGATGCCAGACGTGTCTGCTGCTGATGATAAAGATATATGATTGATGTTTGCAAGTATATTTCTGATATATTCTTAAACTGGAACATTTCGCAAATTGCGATAGCTCTGACTGTCAATGGTTGCAGTTCTCGTAAGTTATTCAAGTATAATATCTATTCTCTATTCTCTATTTATGATTTACCTATTGCATAAGAAAATACCGGAACTAATTTAGAATATACATTATAAAACATGAATTTCGACCAAGTTCCAGCCCCTTTGGCCAGCATGTAGTTGGAGCTTAGTCAATTTAATCCAGGCAGGTCTATAATCATCGTATATCTAATGAAAAAAAAAAAAAAAAAAAGAATAATGAATTTAAATAACTTAGCTGTAAAAACCAGCCTACTCGAGTGTTTACTAAGCTCTCTCATGTTCGCACAAGTTCAGCATTCAGCATTCCACTATGACTACAGGGTATAGAAATCCGACCGCAGCCACCAAATTGCGCAGCGTCATAAAATGTAAAAATTTTCAATTGTCTGCAATTTGTGGGGTGCGCTTGAACTCCATCGCATCGAGTGGGGCCGCGTAGAGCAATAGCCAGCACATTTTCATAGACGTTTGCACAGTTCGGCAACGCGCTGGCCGCTTACTTTGTTCACATGCTGCTGCGACTAAGTTGGCTGAAAAGCAAAGTATTAGAAATACAATAAAGTGGAGTCAAAGTGAAAAGTTTTACGCAGCGGCTGCTCCTTCGTTGTTGGCGGCGTAAGAAAAAACTGCTGCTGCTGCTGCTGCAGCGATAAAAAAAATATAAGAAGAATAAAAGTTTGCAAACAGCAAAGTTTGCTGGCTACCAGCCGAGTACCTTGAGCGAGGGCATTGGCGCTGAGGGGGGAACCACAAAAGCGCTATTACAAACAACTTTGTTTGCCGCATGCGAGCAGCTCCTCCTTTTTCTGCATATGCATCGAAGTCTCAGTCGGAGTCGGAGTTGGAGTCGGCGTCTGTTTGAGGCGCAGCTTAAAACTTTTAACAATGCACAAAGCGGCAAAGTGATTTCTTTCATATTATTAACTTGACTTGAGTGTGGTATGTGCCATGCAGCTCACATGTGAAGAGCCCCGAGCAAGCGGCACTCCCAAGTGAAGTGAAGTGCCGCCCACAAACGGCGAGTGCGGCCCTCAAAGGCAGCCCGCGTTAATCGCAAGGCCACTTGACCGTGACGTTTACGCATGCGTGGCGTCTTTAACATTTCTATTAAGTTTTTATTTCATTTTAAAATGTTGCTAATTTATGAGCGACAGCAGCACCAGCAACTCAACCAACACTTGCGGACTTCACGCACTAACTGAACGGCCCAGACTGAGTGTCGGAGCTGACGAGCCGAGGAGCTGACTGAGCTGGCTGGGCAGGATTTGTAGGCAGCTGTGCCGTGTGCCCGTTTCAGTGATGCAAATCGCAATAAATTGTAATTTATGCAGCAGAGCCCGCTGCGAGCTCATCCATTGCCAAGGGGTTGCTCAGGCTCGCAGTTGCCCAGGTAGGCAGACTCAGCTTCCGTGCGTCTGTCTCTTTCAAAGGCGTTTACACAGGCGCATAAATTACGCCAAAATGCCATTAGAAGAAAAAATGAAACTAAAGAGAGAACCCCTTTGACTGCTACTGCTGGCAGGTCACGTAATGCCCACATCAATCGCAATGCAACAAATTTGAATAGCCAACGAAATCCCGGTGAGCTCTGGAGGTGTCGCTCGGCTTATCAGCTGACGAGTTTCCGTCCGTTTGGCTAGCTCTCCGCTATTTGATTGATGAGTTGCGAATTCTCAGCTCAGCTTAAGCCTAGAGATTTTATTTTGATGACAGATTTTAGATTTCATAGACGCTAAGCGAACAATATTAATAGTTTAAATACATTGCTGTATGAAGAGTAAATATTTTGCATGTGCGATTCTCACCATTTATGGCCTAAATATTTTGCATATGAAATTGCCGAGCTCTCGAAACATCTCAACAGCCCTATTGTTCTCAATCAACCAACACACATGCCATTAAAATGTTTAACCAGGGCCATAGAACAAATAAAAAGTCTGCCATGTAAATGTTTTGTTAAATTGCGATCGGGACATAAAGAAAAATCGGCATAAAATTCAAAGCGGATCGCATAAATCAACATTTTTATGCAACGGCAGAGATAACAGAGTCGAGAACTTATGCAGAATCCAAGCTGCCGCCCCTATGCCATGTACCCTTCCCCTGGCCTAGCCTAACATATGCTCGCCCATTAACAATTGTCAGTTGGCAGGGGGCAATATGAATATTCATAGTTCGATTTTTGATTCGACATTGTTTAAAATCGGCGTAACGTGAATTAAAAGGCAAATTTATAATAATGCGCTGCACAACCGCACCGGCCACCCCATCCCCAGTCCAGGACACCAACTGATAACCCTTGCCCCTGCCCCTGCCCCTGACCCTGCCCGATGCCATCTCCCAGGACTATCGATAAATGCGCACAAGCCACTTTCGATTTTCGGCGCAAATCGGCAATAAATCGCCTTCGGATGGCACGGCAGACAATGGGCCAGACAAAAGGGTTTCGAGAGCATCCTTTCTCTCTCTGTGTCTGTGTGTGTGTGTGATTGTTGGTTTTGCTGTCAATTGTGTTGTGCCCGGGGGTTAAACAATTTGGGCATTGCCATGGCCATGGCCATGGGGTACCTGACTTTCCACCGCTCGCTACGCACAGACACTGAGCAACGACTCGAGTGTCTGTGGTCGTACTTAATTAGAGTTTTATAAACAGCAAACATGCAGATATGGAGAAGCTTCAAAGTAGATTTCATGCTCAAATTGTTGATAAAGGCTGTGACGGTTGGGCAGGCCCAACTCTTTGCATATGGCCAAACATCATCTGCATACATGCCCCTAGCCTTAACGGTATCTCTATCGCTGTCTGTCCTACCTGAGCCGCATGTCTTCACGCATCATGAATTTGATTGAGGATTTCATGCCTTATTTTTAATAATTTTCTGCAGCTTCATTTGGATCACTGAACTGTTGCGAATCGTTTTGAAAATGTTGAGTATTTGAGATTGTACAAAGTCTTGAAAGTCGAACAGAAAACTTTTTCATCTAGCGGGCTCTATATTATGCCAAGACTTTCCGATTCTTGAACTAATTCTAAGCCGCTATCAGTTGGAACTTTGGTCATGGATATCCTTAAAAAATTAAAAATTATAAAGAAAATGTAAAATTGTTTCATAGACGAGCAAATACCATACAAAAATACAATATGACTTCAGCATTTAAGCGAAGTGAAGATGAACTTATGCTGTGTTTTTATATCATCATTAAAAATGAGAATTTGCTTACAAAAATGTATGTCATTTTTAACTCTCTCTCTCTCTCTCTCTCTCTTTCTCTGTCTCTCTTCATCGCTCAATGTCTCTCTCTCTCTCTCTCTCTCTCTTATTCTCTTCATCACTTAATGAATCTAGTTCTCTCTCTCTCTCTCTCTCTCTCTGTCTTCTTCTCTTCATCACCCAATGTATCTATATATTTCTGCCTCTCTTTATTTATCTCTCCCTCACTTTCTGCACCTATCTAGTGAATGAATTCTCTTCAAAGGGTAGTCCAGTATACCAAAGACCGTGAGAGGTTATCATATTTTTCCATACCTCATCCTTATAATAAACGAAAATGCGTCAATTGTTAAGTTAGTAGGAATTTAGTATATTTCATATTATGGACTTCTGCCCACTTCTCGCAAATTTTAATTTAACATACTTGAGACTTCTGCATTGTCAATTAACACATACATATATAATAAATTTTATCATTAAGAGCCGATTCTAATATTCTATTTGCGTTTCATATGCGTATATGAAATAGCTTTAGGATGATTGGAATATGAGCGCAGGACTCAGATTATCTCCAATTATAGAGATTAGACTTAGATCTGGAAGACTATATTGTCACGCCTGTTAGATCAATGCTTATAATGCATTATAATGGAAGAAAAATGAAAAGAAAATGTATTCTGAAGTGAAATCATTTGCACAACCAAACACCTCTGGTTCACTCTAATACACCCCTCGTGGTGTTTCGAGGCAAGCAACACAATGAAATTATGAACTGCTACAGTCAAGCGTCTCAGTTATTAGCTTGTTTCTTCATTGGCCACACATTTAAAATTCAGCCAGCGACCCCACCAAACCACCATCGCACCACACAAACACCCAACCACCCAACCAAGCAAAACATTTCAGTGCCTTTTGTGCATAAAATAATTTGCTCTTAACTTTTTGTGCTTTGGCTCATTTTCATTTGGTATTTTGGCATACAGCTGCTGCCGCTGCTTTGCCATTGTGTATGTGAGTATTTGTGAGTGTGTGTATGTGTGTGTGTGTGTGCAAGTTGAGCGCAATTAATTAAAACTTTGTTGGGGCTGGTTATGGTCGTGTCCTTGTGCGGGCGGGAGACGTTTACTGCGCCCTCACCCTTGTCCTCCCCCACATCCTGGTCTTCGTCGTCATCGTCATCGTCATCGTCGTCGTCGTCGCCATCGTCTGGCTGAGAAATTATGTCAAAGTGTCTGGCTCTGCCTGCTCCTGCTGCTTTGGCCGCGTCCTCATCAGCGTCCTTGGGCTGTCTGGAGCGTTCGTGGGAATTCCCTCAATTATTTTTGCTGTCGACGTCGACGACGGCTCATTTATTTTCAGCTTAATTTGTTTTTACTTTCAGCTGAAAGTTTTGCGAGGCATGCGCCACTTGTTGCTGCCAGCTGTATGCTGCCTGCTGCCTGCTGCCTGCTGCCTGCTCCCTGGAGTATGTTTAATGAAATCAATTATGACAGCAACTGTTGGCGGCGTCTGATGAAAATTAAATGCCACAAGCGACCGGCAACAATTTGTCAACGCACAAAAGGCGCAGCATCACAACAGAGATTGGTTCACTGCGTCTACAGCCTGCTCTTCACAGTGGAAATGGGAAGGGGCATGGGAATGGGTGTAGATATTTGGACTCACTCGCTCGCTCGCTCGCTCGGTACGGGCACATCCTGCTTCAAGTGGCGCGTTCCGTTCCGAGCAAGGCTGCCGCACAATGGCCGTAGCTGGCGCTGGTCCTGCTACTCGTTCAGCTTCGATTCAGCTGCTCCTTGCTCAAGTTGTTGGCACGGCATTTAAAATTCATGCAGCCCACGCAGCCAGCCGCCTTTCTCCTTTCACATATGCAGATGATGTTTGTTGACGATCCGGTTCAACCTTGGATGCTCGCTCCCATACACACACACACCAGCACACACACACATGCATACATGAACGGAGCACGCATCCTGTGCGACACATTCAATTCAATGTGCCCTCTGCGTGCCCTACAGCTCCTAGCCCCGCCCCACCCGCTCGCGCGCCCTCCCATACCCCTTTTACCTTTTCAGCGAGCTCCGCTCGTTGCTGTCGTTGTCCTCGTTTGATTTTTATTCATTTCTCGCATGACAATGACGCTTATTATGAATTCTTTGTGATTTTGCGTGTGTGTATGTGTGTGTGTTTTTATTTTTTATTTCTTTTCATATTTTCAATATCTCCTCGGCGCTGCTCGCTGCTCGCTGCTCGCCCCTGCGACCGGCTGGCTCCCAATCGAAATAACTTGCATACGGCATGATTGTTATTCAAATGTGATTTCTGTGTTCAGTTATTTTTCTTTTTCGCATGTCCTTGCCGAACGTGTCCTCGCATCCTTTACCCGCTTCGCTTCGCATGCCCGCTCCCCCCGCTCGCTCTTCCGACGCCTTTAAGTGCCTCCGCTCATGTTGTTTGTTTAACATTTTGTATTCAAAAATAATTATTTAGATTGCTGCATTTGGCATCCGAGGAATTTGATTTGTGATTTGCGATTCTCGGGTCTGAGGCTCGCATGTAACTAACATCGCCCGATGCAGAGTGGAGGCAGAAGGCTTTGACCTTTTGATATATGCTGGCAAATTCAATTTCAGCATTGCTTACGAATTTCGCAGAATTTCACATCATAAACAAATATTCATAGGAATTCTCCTACAAAATCCAATCCTTAAATATCACGAGTGTGGAAACAGCTCTTGGCATGTAAAATGCTCTCGGTTTAAGCAATATTTGCAGAGTCCTAATTTTATTTCAAGGCGTTTCACAGCTTCGGGCTGGCCAAAGTTTGATTTCTTTTCTGATTTGCCAGGTACTCAAAATAATCGCAAAATGCGACATATTTGTGGGATAGCCCATTTTCGCCAACGTCTCTCTCTCTTTCTCTCTCTGCCTGTCTCTTCCCCCTCTCTTTCAGCTGTTTATGGACCCAGCGAGCATTTCTCGGCAGGCGAACATAAAACCCAAATTGATGACGCATCGTGATGGTGTCATAAGAAAATTTTCACAATTTCCACTAAAACCCATTTAAAGTGTTGCCAGCCCCAACCGCCTAGGCCAACCCCCGGCCCAGTCGCCCGCTCTCCATCTTGTGGCTGCTGCTCGTGAAATGCGCGTCGATTAAACCTTTCTTTTATGCGCTGTCTTTTTGAAGTGCGCCTTTGTCGAGATCCCGAAGCCAGCCCAAGCGCAACAATGGCGCGGCCCGAGCCGTGGGGGTGTGGCCCTAACGGGGCTGGCCAACATCCTTGTGTTGGCGGCTGTCATCAAAAAATATTGTATTGTTATTATTTTATTTTTATGTGCCCTCGCTGTTATTTGCATAAGGATGGCCTGCTGGCTCGGGTCGAGGTCCGGGTCCGGGTCCCTGGTCCCGCTTTGGGTTTGGGCAACGACCAGCAGCAAACAAAAAGCGTTTCGCTCGCTTATTTCGCATTGTAAATTTTTATGCCAGCTTGTATGCGCGCGTGTATGTGTGTGTGCCTGTGTGTGTGAGCGTTGCCCCGTCCCCTGACCCTGTGCTGGCTCCAGCAATCACACACATTGTAATTGAACACACACGCTCGAACGCATTTTGTTTAGATTTCATTTTTTTCCTTTCTGCAACTTCTTCTTCTTCTTCTTCTTCTGCTGCTGCTTTTGCTCCATCATTGTGAGTCGCCTCCTGCGCTCGTCATGTTTTTGGCTGGCGTGGCTCTCGTTCCCATTCAGCTTCTGCTCCTGGTTCTTGTCCCGCTCTTTATGCTTTTGGCTTCGGAGTCGTCGACATAAAATGCAAAACAGAATTTCATTTTCGGCAGGAATGTTAAGGCGTTGTTGTTGTTGTTGTTGCTGTTGTTATTGTTGGTGTTGTTATTGGGAATGCTACAACATTGTTGAAGCATGTAATATCCTGCCAAGGATAAGGGTTGCAATACACCCCACACACACGCTCGCACACACACACACTCGCTCTCGTCATATATGGGTTTTGAGTTGTTGACGATTTTTGCTACGTTCGTTTTCTTTCTCTGTTCCCACTTTTTTCTCCAACACATTTTTTCATGCGAATTTAGTTTATTGGTTTTGTGTGTGACTGTGGGAGGAGCTGACTCGTATGTGTGAGCGAGTGTGTGTGCGAGTGTGTGCCCGGTCTTTTTGGGGTGATTGATTGGCATTACGAGTTGCCATTTACATACACATTTCATTTATGCAAATACTCGCAATTCATATTCCACAAATACTTGCCGAATTACAATAAACATTTTGCAACAACAGCAACAACAATGGCACACACCCAGCACTGGGTGGCTGAGCTTCGACTTTGCCTTCGATTTCGCATTCGCATTCGCTAAGCATTCTCACAGCTAATTTCCCTTTAAGATTTGTGTTATATCCATTAGATTTAGATAGAGATCGGTCGGCTGTCTGTCCGACTAGCTGCCGGTTCTCGTTCTGCCTGCTGTTTTTGCTTAATTTCCTGTTAAGCCATTTTCAATATTTCGTGTAATGAAGTTGAGCGCTCAGCAAAATGGCAGCGCAATGCATTAAAGGCGTGGCAAGCTGTGAGTGACAGCCCAGTCTCGATGCTCACAGTCAGTCAGTCACTCAGCCACTCAGCCACTCAGTCAGTCAGCCATTGAGTCATTCAGTCATTCAGTCAGCCAGCCATCCGGCCTATGGAATATGCTTGTAGAAATGCGCCCCAGTATGTGGCAGCTCCACAGTTATGCATGACGAGCCATGCTGATGAGAAGGCGTTTACTTAAATGCACAGTGGAGCAATATGCAATAAAACTTGGCAAATTATTATAATTATTTTCCTGGGAAGTAACTGTCACGTTGAAGACATTGAAGAGCTGAACTAGACTGTTTATAATAAGAAAATCGACTTTTCCTATGCAAACCTGTTTTACTCTTCTTACGACTATTGAATGCTCGAATTTTAGTTGCCAGAAGCAACAAAAAAAGAAAAATATGTATATATATTTAATATATATATATATATATATATATATATTAATAATATATATATTAATAATAGCAGAGACCATAAGTTTGCTAGCAAGACAGAATGTAACGTATTTAAATACCTTGTTATATTTCATAATTAATAATTAATAACTTAGAATTTTACCACACATCTATAACCCATAAATAAACTTACACCAGATCGAAAAGTAGGACACCTCATCTAATAATTTTATTAACAGACTCTCTATATTGTAATTTATTGCCTAACATTTCGTTTAATCTCTGTCTATTATAGAACTGGGGCTTTTGAGTTCGAAAAAAAATTGCCAAAGTTTAATTCATATTTTATTTATTTATTTATGTATTGGGATACTTTATTCATAATCAAGTTACGGTTTACGATAGTGTTGTGTTTTACATTTAAGAGTGCAGGATACACTAGTCCTTTTCTACATAAACATAATCATTTATACAATGGAAATTGATTTGTTAGAAAGTAATTTAATTTTACTATTTCATTTTTGCTTACCAAAATTTTATTGAAATTAAAATATAAATTTAATTTAATTTAAATTTGTTTTATATTTGTAGCATCAATTTAAAATAAACCATAAAAAACAGGTAATTAATGTTATTATATTTATTTTATTTTTTCTGGTTCTTCTTCTTATTTAAAATGCAAACGAGTTGACATTTGCCTCGTCCCACTGTGGCAATGTTTTACTGCCAAACACAAGAATAACACGTGGGCAACCAGCACGCTGAGCGCTTCTAATGTCTACAACTTGGCTTTAAATTAACATTTTGCATAAATGTTCGTCATGTCATCATAAAGAGCTACACACACGCACACACACGCTCACATCCAGACCGGTTGAGACATCAAACGGCCATAAGGCAACACGCTGCGTATGCGTAATATGGAGATATACCACGCCGCATTTGGCAGCCAGTTCTTAATAACCTGCTCGAACAGAGCCCGTCTCTGCCACGGCGCTCTCAAAGGATGCCACCTAATCACTCTCAGCGCATTTTGCGTAAACGCTTACGCACGGTCAGATGAGTGTGGGCGGGCCGCGCGGTTCTCCGCCAGCTGCACAGCCGATTCATTTGTGCAATCAGCTAAAGCTATCGGTTCGCGCAGATCTCCGCCTAGGTAATGCCTCTATCGGCGGGCAGAGGAAATTAATGTGCCCTTTTGTGGACTGGGTGGCATATCATCTCTCTGGTTGAGTCGATGCCTGGCGTTGACGGCTGCGCCGAGTGTGGCAGATTAATGATACTAAAAACGCAATTTGCCTGCCGCACCACACACACACACACACACACACACATACACTCACACACGCACGCATACAGATGCCCAAGCCACTTCTGATTAGCTTTTGCCAGCGGCTTTACGGTCATTAGTCGCTGCTCAGGAATTTGGCTTATTGGATGCCAAAGTTGAGTGCACAAAATCGCCAACTACTCGGCTATGGAGTGGCGTGTCTGCACTCCTCTCGTCTTGTCGTACTCGCCCCTCCCTCACCCACTCCCCCTCCCGCTCTTTACCAACTATACACAAATTATAATAAAATATTTTGTAAGCCAAATAACTCGAAATGCCTTTTAATGTTGTAGAAAATATTCATGCAGGCAAAGGCAACAACAGCAACAACAACAACCACAGCAGCAACAACAACAAGCTTGCTGCATTCACATAAAGAAAGGAAAAGAATCTTATAATAAATTCCACTACAGGCAACAAGATGCCAACGATGAGTGGCTCCTTGTATTCGTTTCCATATGTGCAACCGAGTCCTGCTGACTTGTGCCAGGAGTTGCCTGAAGTTGCCTCCATCTTTCTTGCTTTCTTTTGCCAAATTGTTGCATGCAAATGTTGCTAGGGGATCCGACTTTAGTGCAATACAAGTACGTAATATGTGTTGTAGTTTCATTAGGATTACAGTTGTTGCTGTTGCTGTTGTTGTTGCTCTTGCAGCTGCCTTTGCTGCCTGCTTATTGAGTTATGACGCATACGAATTGTGAGTAAAAGTATGAGATGGAAATATAAATTTGCTGCTTATAACAGTCGACAACAGTCGGCAAACAGTCCATGACTCTATATATACGTATATATGTTACTTAAAAAGTCTCTCTCTGTGTGTGTGTGGGTGTTCGCATTCCTAACAAAAGCTCTGCCTTTGGCTTGGGCATGCGAACGAATCAGAATTGAAAGTTAAACCTACCCCTGGGCGGGTATTGCCTGCCATTGCAGTTGCAGCTGATCCATAAAACTATGTGCATGCAACACAGCAGCAACAGCAACAACAACAAAAACAACAACAACACAAAAGCAGTGCTTGAGTGCTGCTCCTGACGAGCAGTTGGCAGAGTGCCTCGAACAACGCAGGGCTTACATCAAATTGTGGCACAGCCGAGTGGATCGACTGACGATGCCAACTCAAGTCTGGCACTTCTGTTCCAGTTGCATTAGCCGTGCAGTTCAAGATTTTAATCTGGCCAGCCGTGCTCAAGGTCAAAGATATTGCGACAAATTTGCATTACTTGCCTTAAATATGCAAAAAATATTAATTGCTTCGGCTCTCATTTAAAATATATTAAAAATGGAATATTATCAAACTAATTATTCAAGATTTCAGATAAAAATAGTTGTAAGTTCCATTTGCAGCTCAACCAATTGGTTTACCTTAAAGCATAAAGTCGTTTTGCAGTTGTTTACTTTTGGTCCTGGTGCAGCCTCCACATCGATTTGAGGCTTCCCTTTACTGCTGCCGCTGCTGCTGCTGCTGCTGCTGCTGCTTCTGCTAGTGGCATGCTGAATACGGTTGTCGTTGTTGCTGCTGTTGCATTTTACATTTTTACTTCGTTAACTTGATTTCCGCTCGCAAACGAATGCAGCTATCGAAAAAGTTGACAGCTTGAAGCGGCTGAAAGGCCTCGCCACTCAGCGAACCCAACTTTAAGTTTTAGTTTTTCTCTACTTTATTTTTTGGCTGTGGATGGCGCTTTAAATATTTACGCTGTCTAAATATTTTTTGTGTTTGCCAAGTGGCGAGGGCGAGGGCCATGGCGAGGGCGCAGGCGAGGGTGACAGCAGTCGCTTGTAAAGCGTAAAAAATATGCGAAATTCAATTTACGCCAAACAAAATCATAATCCATCTATCATTCATCAACTGCAGCGAACACTTGGCGCAAATGTCTGCGGCAAACGGAAGGAAACTCATAGATACGCGAGCTACACACACCCACACACACATTCGCACACACACACCCACACACACACACAATTTACTGTCTGGGTATGTGTGCGCGCTCTCATGCCAGGGCTTTTCTTTATTTCTTTTTACATATTTTGTTACGCTTGTAAAGCTCAAATCCCCAGCGTATAAGCATTTCTACTTCAGCTGCTCAGTTTAGCGCCGCCTCATCCCGTATCCTACGCCTCGAACCCCACACCCATACCCACAACCGTAACCATGTCCTCTTTCCCGTACCCGTGCCCCATTTCGGCCTCGCCGTGGCGCCTCTGTTTGCCTTTGTTGCGTGCGCAAAACCAAAAAATGACAAAATGCGTGGCCTGGCAGCTGCCTGATAAGGCGCCAGCTCTTCTAACTATTGATGGGCCTGACTGCTCCTTATAGCTGCGTCGGCTGCGCAACTTCAGCTTCAGCTTCAGCTCCACAGCAGAAGCGACAGCAACAGCGACTGTGGCAACGAATGGTCGCCAGCTTGGTTCCAAAACCGTGGTGGATTTCTGGCCGAGGGGTAGCACATCCGACGCACCACGTACCACACAGCACGCACCACACACATACCACGCACTGCGCTTTCCATGGAGACGGCTGTGGCTTCAAAGCCTGGAAGCGTGCTGCAGTTTTTTGCTTAGCAGCGCGCAGGAGAAGTGCCCACCTGAGGGGGTTGCTGCCGCTCGGCCAGAGAGCACGCAGAGGCGTCAAGTGCGCCTGCGCAAAACTCAAACTCAAACTTCATGGCCGTCGCTGCCGGCAGCGCAGCACTTGACGGCCATTCGGGGGTGGCAGTTCGACTGCTTGGCTGCTTCCAGCGGCAACAACGTCGTCGTCGTCGTCGTCGTCGTCGTCGTCCACGCTGAAAACAAATGGCAAGCAACATTGCTGTGGGCAGTATTAGTTGGGCCTTGCGCCCGGCTGGTGCGTCCTATCCTGTCCTGGCTTGGTCAGGCTCAGGCAGCGATTGAGACTTGGTCTCGAAGCGAATTCAGTTACGGAACACTTGAAGACACTCGCTTGAAGCTTGGCGGCTTTGTGTCTGCGATGTGAATTCGTTCGAATCTCTTCTGTGGCAGCGACGTCGCTGCCGACGACGGCGTCTGCTCCATGAACGCCTGCTTCTTACGCGATTACTCCAATTCCAATCCGTGTGTGTGCGATAAGAAAGCGAAACGCGACGAGACGCCAACTGAACTCAACTGAACTGAGCGCCAAAGTGGTTTTTGGAGTCAAATTCGCAATCATTTCTTAATGCGACGCGTATCGGTTCGGTTGTGTGCGTTCTAAAGAAAGTTACTGCTGCGAAGGATAGTACATTAATGTCAAGAAAGCAAAACTGTGATTCACCTGTGAGCCTTTACAACATAAACAGTTTAGAATATATACAAAAAAAAATTAAATAAAAATTTTAAAAGTAGTTTACGAATTTTAAAAAACTTTTGAGTTTGAAATAAACTTAATTGCGATCATGTTTGTTACTAAACACTTACTTCTATATCAGGTAAGTGTATTATGTGCTTAAAGAACAAAGTGAAAAACATTGATAACAAAAAATGTCAATTATAGTTTGTCTGAACACATCAAAATTTATATGAATTCATTTATAATTTGGAATACTTAAATTATTTTATTATATTTATTATATATGTGTGCATTTCGGAACTAAGTCCTTAATAAGTTTGCAAAACTTTGAAATAGCCAACTTAGTGATTTTTATAAAAAGTTGAACGATATGTGAGAATATGTATTATTGTAGGGAATTAAAAATTAAAATTATAATTAAAAAAGTAATAACAATTTTAAAAAAATCAAAAATAACAAAAAAAAATAAAAATAAAAAAAAGTAAATAAAAATTAAAGAATAAAATGAGTTTTAAAAAAATCCAAATATTTATTAATCGAATATAAATACTAAATCAAAATCATTTGAAATTATGAAATGAATATTTTATAATTTTTCATAAACACGATATATCAGATCAAACTGATTTTTTTTTTCCAAAACCAATACATATAATAATACTGTTTTTCATATATTAAATATATTTTATTTAAAAGTGAATTATATTTTGTAAGCTCTGAACTGCTATTAGTTCCATATAAGACTCAATTAATTACACATTACTCTTATTAAAATTGATAAATGAGCTTATATCACTTTCACATATTTCACGCAACTCAAGACTTTTAATTAAGTTTTATTTTGAGTTCATTATATGGGAAGTTTTAATATTCAGTTAGTTAGGAGCTTACGCGAAACTCAACCGCACCCATCGAAAGAACACAGCGAAATAACTTCACATCAAACACTTTCGAAAAAACTGAGGAACACAACAAAAAAGCAAAACACGTTGAAGCATGTTGGCCTACATTTGAGCGGGCGAACGAGAGCAAAAAGGACTCTCGCAGCCGGTAAAATAATTGCATAAATTAAAATCTTAATTATGTGAAGGCAGGGCTCGCTGCTCCCAGCAGAGGCAGAGGCAGTGGCAGAGCCAGAGGCAGAGGCAGTGGCAGCAGCAGAGGCCGAGCCTCTGAATGAGATGGCAGAAAATAGCAAGAGCGACAGAGAGAGTGAGTGAGAGAGAGACGTGTGATGAGCTGTGACGTTACCAAATGAGCGCGGTACAAAATGAAAAATGAAACACGAAAATTAAACAAGAGGAGAAATTTGTTGCGGAAATGGAAGCAAAGCAAATGCATGAGAAAACGCGACGGCAAAATTAATGAGCGCCGTCTGTAACAGGAGCAGCCAGGACCACGAAGGACGACGACGCGCGCTCATTAGGCAGCACGAAAAGCACAGAGGGCGAACGTAAAAAAGCGATAACGCTGCCGTCGTCCTTGGCCGTGATTTGGCTGCCGGCCTCGCTCGGCGTTCATTAACATAATTTTAATTTGGGTTAGTGAGACAGTTCGTTGAACCTGGCGTTGGCAGCGGCAACAAGGATGCGCACAGAGGCACAGCCAGCTGCCAGAGAGCATCAGAATTTCTCGTTTCAGCCTGAACATTTTTTGCATTCTATTATATTATTTTGTATTCTCTCTACTTGCCGTGATTTGTTTAATTTTATGCTAATGAGCGACGGCTGGGTCAGGGCTTACCCCTGGCTGTCTAACTACCCCTTTCACTTTCTACGCACTCTCATTTTTTGCTTCTTCTATTTTTTTATTTTTCGTGAACTGTTTTTATGCAAATGAGCTTTCCGTCTACCTGAGTGGAATAGGACTCTGATTAATATATGTGCATATATGGCTCTCGGCTCGTTGCGCAGCTGCTGGCTTTGAGTTGGGTTTGCGATTTAATTGCAAAGAGTTGCAGCTAATTTGCATAAATTGTTTCGCATTTTTGGCAAACCCTATGCAAATTCAAGTACGTTATTTGCAAATCGTGTTCTCCGAGCGACTCTGCTGTCAATTATCGATTCAGACTTTCGAGCAGTTGAGTGAGGTACTACACGTATCCGCTGGCAATTATGGACTTAGTAGCTGAGCATAGACGCGCAGTTTGCTAACAAGTCCATGAGGATAGGGGGATTGATAATGCTTCATATAGCTCGCAAAAAGGGAAGCTCATTGCAAAGCAATGGGAACTACACAAAAAAAAAAAAAAATTTTTTTTTGATTAGGAAATTCGTAGTAAAGTGAACTTTGCTGTACAAATATTTTCATATATTTTAATATATTGTATTATATATATAATGAATATATATAATGAATACTTAGTAATTTAGTAGTATATATTTTATATATATGAATATGAGAGGATATGTGAATATGAAGAATCACTTATCAACGGCAAATAATATTCACCTAGTTTTTCTATGATTATAAGCTTAAACCCAAAATATAATACAGTAGTACTTCAGCTAAAATTTAATTAAATCAATTACTTAACAATCAGTACCTTCAAATATAATAAAATGCATATGCAGACATAGAATTTCTTTTTTATTTATTCTGCAAATATAAAGAAAATCAATAAAGTCTCATCCATATTTGTGAAACACATCTACCCTGTTTTATCTGCTTTCTCTGGTATGCTGATTCCCTCTTTGTGTATTGCCATCAATCTGCACTTAAGCCGTTTTAGATATGCGATGCAGAGCCATTTATGGCAGCCATAGTTCAATCTAAAACGTTTCAACCCGCTAACTAAAGGCGGAATTGCCGCCCACAAACTCCCCCTTTCGCCCATTTTCTTTTGGCTTTCGCAAATTTGTTGCTTACACCCGCTCAAATACATGCACATACGCACACAGCTAAACAGATACACACACACACACACACGCACGCACACGCTTACAATTTAACGTTTTTCTTGTACAAGAGACATAAGCAAATGTTTGATGGTTGCTGTACAAATACAAACAACCACACAAGCACACACACACACGCACACGCACACGCACACGCATACTCGAATACACACATGTCTATAGATACACACACACGTCTATGGCGGGGGTGATTGCGTTGGCGAACAAAGCAAAAAGCGACGACGACAACGACAGCAACAAAATAAAAAAAAAATAAAAAAGGAAAAAAGGAAAACTGCGACAAAAGCGTGGAACACACATGAAAATCCGAGAGTGGTTCGTTTGAGCTGGGAGGTTGGGTGGTTGGTTGGTTGGTTGGGTCTGCATTTCATATTGGCATGTGCAAAAATCCAAATATTCTATATACTTGCCACTCCCTCTCTATCGCTCTATCACTCTATCGCTTTGTCTGTCTCTGGCTGTGGCTGTGGCTGTCTCTATCTGGGTCTGTCCCAGCTCCTTTGCCATCTCTGTCTGCGCGACTGCTTTGTGTTAGCGTAATCCTTTTTAGCAGGCAAACGAAAATACGACTACATATCAGAATGTAGAAAATGCCTGACAGGATTGCCAAATACTCCACTTGCCACACGCCCGCATCCTGTGCCGGATTCCGTATCTTCTTTGGGCTGTCGCGCATCTTGAAGTGAATTGAATTTATATCTATGCATACACCAGCTCCTCTCGTCTCCCCCTCTCCCACCCTCTCTGTCTGTCTGTCCTTGCAAAAGTCAAACAACAGTTATGACTGCACGGCTGTCTATACTCCGACAGCCAGCACAGAGAGCATCCGATATTCGGCTATCTGCATCTCTTGGCTGCTATCTGCTGCGCTTGTATTTGCATAGATTTCGTTGTTGTTTCCCTTTGTCAGGTGCGCCGCCAAAACCAATTTTCAAATATTTTCACTTCGGTTTTCTTGCCAACTGTCTGACTGCTGCTGTCAGTTGCTGTCACGCTACTCAAAGGCGAAAGGCTGTTTACCCAAATATAGATACACACACACACACACACACACACACAGACACACTCGCACACACAGCAAGTCAACAATGCAATCAATTTGCTTATTAGAGAGAACGGTTGAAAGTAAAATTTTATTTTCGCAAATCCTTTAACAAGGCAGACTGGAAACAGGCAGCGCAATCCGTCGTCCTGCCGATTATGCAAATTAACAGGGTATCCTTTTTTGCATGCTACATGCTACTCTCCTCAGTTCGATCGAGCTGTGTGCGCTGTCGCATGTGTTCGATCGCAAAAATTTGCATAAATTTTTTTTTGCTATCGTCAGTCAGCCAGTCTGTCAGTCAGGCAGTCAGGCAGTCGGCCTGCTCGACTGTCAGAGGACACCCTGGGCCACAGTTTTACTGTCACCTACAAACAAATTTTTATTAGTTTTGCACTCGACTCTGTGCGTGTTTCGCACTGCTCGCAAATATGCAAATTAGCTTCAAGTCGTGTTTTGCGTTTTATTGAAAGGCAGCCAGCGAGCGAGTACTCCACGACCCAATCCAAGCCAGCCCAGCCCAACCCCACTTCAGGGTTTTTCTGCAGGGTTGACGGCCGAGGGTTGCAGCGCCAGAGCTTGATAAGCAAATTGTGTTTGCGAAAAATTGTTATCGATTTTATTTTGAGGTTCGGGAGGAACATTTCACATTTTGCGAGTGCGTAAAGTAAAGTCAGTCCACATCAAATCGAAAGATATATGACTGGCAGGCTGGTAGGGCCCGCCGTCATAAAATATAGTTGTAATCTGTGTAGCTGAGCATTTGGCAACTTTTAAATTGCATTCTTTGATGTTCTCTGCTGAGGCAGCCGCAGAACTGTTTGGCCGAAGAGCCTCGGCTATAATTGGGTTTTATCTGCACGCTTTGCGTTTCATTTTGAAACTAAACACAACAATCAGTTGCTGTTGAGCAAATTTTCAATTTCCCTGTGAGCAAGGGAACTACAGCTGAAAGTTTCCGTTTCTCTGGACGCCATAAAGGCACAGTCTTTGCCTCTGCCTTTGGGTTCTCCTTCACTCTCGGCTCTGCATTCGCGAATCAGCGAAATAGAATGTAAAATATTAAGCATAAAATATGTAACCCATTTCAAAGAGCGCGGCCAAGCAGCAATCAGAGGCGAGCAGGACGGCAGGACGGCAGGATGGAGCTCGCGCAGGCACAACAGGATCCTTTGCTGCTACTCCTGCTCCTGCTGCTGCTGTTGCTGCCAAATCTAGAGGCACATTTTGGCAGATTTACTGCATATTGGCCCGGCGTCAAAAGCAGCCAAGTCTCGACAGTCTCGCCTGACCTCCCGACCCAAGCGCCATTCCCATGTCCATTGCCACGAGTTGCTAACCATTCAGTGTTCTTTATTCTTTATTTTTGGCTCCTGCTCCTGGCAGTTGCCAGTTGCCAGTTGGCAGCTGGCAGCTGAGAGTCAGCTACTGTCGCCCGCGAATGCGAACGCCGTGAATTTATTTCCATCATTAGTTGCGGCACTTGAAGCCGAACATAAATGTGATTTATACAGCTCTTTGCGGCTACTGTCCAGCCATTAATATCCACGCACTGCCAATCTAACTGAATAACGAAATGAACAACTGCCAATGCGCACTCTACATAGATGTATATCTATCTATATATACGCATGCATGTGCGCGTATATAAGAATCTTGTATATAGCTTGCGCATGTTGAATCGACGCTCCCACATCATCGAATATGCATTATTTAGACATTAGCATAATTTACTCTGCGCGCATCGCAACTTGCGAGCTCATCTCTCTCCATTTATAAGAATCCTCCCACCCAAGCAGCCCCAGCAGCGCCGGCAGCGCCAGCAGCTCCGTCAGCCCCATCAAGTCTCGGCTGTCATTGGCACTGGCAGCTATTTTCGCTTTGCCATTTGCCTTGTAACAAATGGGATTCCATCATAATAATGTCTTCCTCGGCGGAGTCTACAATCTAAATACTAGTATACACTCCTATATATACATGTATATGTACCATAATGTGTGTGCGTCTATCTGTGTGTGTATCCTGTGACAAATACGTCGGGATTCGCAATTGCGAATATTTCAAACTCAAACACACGATGTCAAAGTCTCTGCTTAAGCTTTAAGTGGGAGGTTTTCATTTTTCCCAAGTTTTTTATACAATTTGGCTGGGTTTTTCAGGGATTTGCCAGCCAGCCAGCATCGCCGCGAACGCTGCCAAATTGATGACTATAGTGCGTGCTGCCATTTGCATGACAGTTGCCAAAAGCGACCACGGCAGCTAGTCCATCAATTCCGTCCCTTTGTGCGTCCTGTCTGTCTGTTTCTAGCTGGACAAATGATTTCATTTGATATGCATGAATAAAATACGAATCCTAGTCGAGTGCACAGCAATTAAAACTCAATTATTAAGTATACGCCTCGTTGAGCCAACTAAACACATGCTTCGCTCGCGCTTCTAATCGAACATGCTAATTGACTCACGCCTTTGGGCTATTGTTCGAGCCACGCCCACTCCTACCGCCCACGCTTAATTGTCAGTCACGCAAGTGCCGGAATTTCAATGTCATCATCAGTCGGAATCTCCGCCACAGAAAAAGTCGCAAAGCCGGTAAAGTTCTTGACCTAGAAACAATGGCAGGCAAGCAGGCAACTGATGACGACATAAACCACGGCAACCAGCAGCAGCAGCAGCAGCTGCGGAGAGAGAATGAGGAAGAGAAAAAGCCATCGACGACGTCACCAAATTGCCAGCAGGAAAACCAGACGAAGGCAAAAAAAAAAAAAAAAAAAACGCACGAACTGTAGACCAGACAAAAATTTAAATTAAAACAAGGACACAAAAAATAAACACCACAGCCCGCATAAATGAGCGGCAAAGCGAGAGAGTGTGTGAGAGAGACAGAGCAAGGCATGGCCCGCAGCTGTGTGGCAACAGCAGCAGCCGAAACACTGAAACTGGGTTAATAAGCAAAAGAGCCAAACGATAATGATGATGATAATGACGATGCTGACGTAGGCGGCGAGAAAGTGCATAATCAAGAAGAGCTGCTCTCCCGACTGCCGGCTGGCCTTCTCTTCTCTTGCTCCTGCTCTCGCTCCTGCTCCTGCTTCTGCTCCGGCTTCTGCTCTTGCTTGTGGGTGCGAAAAACGCAAACTTTACTCATTTTCATTTAGTCCTGTGGGCCGGCAAAGTTGAGAGCTGCAGGCAGCCCAATGCTGGGTGTCATTGCCTCTCTCTCTGTCACTGTCTCGCTCGCTCAGTAGCTCTCTCTGTCTCTCTGTGCGTGTGTTTGTGCAACGACTCCTTGCCGTTTTTAATTTCATTGCAAGAAAATGAACGAACAGCGCGCCAAGGACGAAGGAGCAGACTTGACTTGGCTTGCCACAGCGGCGAGTCAGCAAGACACTGCCTGGCACAGTCTGCGCGCCAAGTCGAGGCACACGCCCACCCCAGCGCCTACGTCTAGCCACCCGCCACGCCGGTTAAATTAGCTGCAGCAGCCGCGCGACATTAAAAAGTTTGCCGGCTGCGTCGACGTCGTCGAGGTTGGGTAAAATAAAAGGAAAACGCGAGGAAAAGCAATAGAAAAATTTGCTGCAAAAAGTGAAATTAAAATGCGGCAAAGGCAGTTGAGGGCGGCAGACAGAGCCGGAAAATAAGAGAAAAATCGCTGGAAAATTAAACGTTAAAACACTGCGAAAGAGCAGTCGAATAAAACGAGCAAAACAAAGCAGGAAATATCCATGTAAATAGGAAAAACAATTGTAGACTCATTTAATACATTATTATTCTTATTATTATCAATTTAAATGTAGTGAAAAATGCCAATCGATGAACGATTTTCTTTTAGACTATTATAATTGATTGAAATCAAGGAGTGATATTCCCACATACATATTGATTCATTGAGCGACATTATCTTCGCACAAATTGCGGCTGAACAATTAATCAATAATTTAATCATACACAATATTTGTTTATTTCCTTTTTGCAGCTAATTGGCTCAGACAACATGGCAAGTCGCTCGTCCAGTTGGCAGTGCCTCGATGACTACGCGAGCGGACAGCTTTTTCCTGGTGTCAGAGCGTCAAACTAGTTTCTAAATATTAATTTGGCCAACATAAAACGTAAATTGATTGAGGCCATTAAGCAGAATCCGCGATGGGGCGAAACGGGCTGGGCAGCCAGACGCAAAGCAAAAACAAAAACGAAAATCATTTGCACACCAAACAAATGACGATAATTAAATGTACTGTTAGCTGATGACCAGATAATCACGGCGCTTCGCAAATAGTCATATAGATATTTTAGTTCTTAGCTAACTGGATAACAACCGCAATTATGATAGGCAAGGTCCCAGGTCCGGCCGAGCTGCCAGCGCCAATCAGCCGTAAGTAAAATAATAGCTATGCAAACGATATATTAAATGATCAAATAGCCAATTCGATAAGTGAGAGAACAGCTCGTATATGGCACTTAAAATATTCAGTTTTACGAAATAGGCCAAGCCATCTGGAATCGAGCTCTGTAGCGCACTCAGTGGCAGCCAATGCTCGATTGCAGTTTTTAGTGAAGCATGCGAAAGGGTAGCACGAAAGCCACTTGGTAATTAAACAGGTTTCAAATTAACATAAAATTAAATTAAATAAATAAAAGCGCTGGGCTCGGGCTCGGAACTGAGTGCCAGGCTGTCAGTTAGCCCCAGCTTGCCAGGTTGCCTCAGCTTGCCAGGTTGCTAAGTTGCCTGTAAACATGTTTCAACGCCGCGCAAAATTAGCAACTTGTAGCCGAGTGTCTCTGTCTGTCTGTGTCGGTGTATGTGTGTGTGTGTGTGTGACTGTGCAACATGTTGCCTGGCAGAATGCCGACGCTTATAGATAAATTTCTGTCAAAATTGCTGATTGACTTCATTAATAACCACGCGCCAAGACGCCAGCCGCAGTCAAAGTTTCATTCGCTGCCGCTGCCGCTGCTGCTGCTGCCAGCTGACAACTCAACAAGGCAGCTGCTGAAAAGCAAGCAGCCTGCCGCAGGGGGAGGGATGCGAGGAAAGCGTGGGCAAATTAATAGCAAACTTGTAGCTGACTGCTTGTAACCTGTTGGGAGGGTCCGCACGGTACCTGTATCTGCATCTGCATCACCATCGACTCTAGCATCGACATCGGCATCGGCATCGGCATCGGCATCTGCATCAGTATCTGAATGCGGTGGCACGATTGATAAGTTGCTTGCTGCGTGGCCATGTTCAATGTCCAAATGCTGGCACAACATGTTCTGGAACTGGTCACACAAACACACACACACACACAGAGCTGTCCTCTACCCACCGCAGCAGCAACCAAAGAAATCAGTGCGAAAATTTATGTTGGTCCGCTGGAATTTTAATGTGCGTTGCCTGCCAATGAGGAAGCGATTTTGCATGCACAGCATTTGGCCATCGTCGTTGCCGTTAAATGCCGTTTAATTGCGTTACAAAAACCGTTTGCTTTTAATTGGTCAACTTTTGGTACGCGACGGCTCGAGCTTCAGCTCCGTTCGAATTATAAATGCCAGGCAGATAGCTCAATAAATGTACAGATTAGTTACAGACGCAATCAATCAGCATCAAACGTTCGCCGCGCCAAATTGTCAGTCGCAAAGCAGCAAAAAGCAGGAGAATGAAAAGGAAGAAGAAGAAAAAATTACAAATCTGCGACTTGATAATAGACACTACACGCGAGTGCGCCAAGCCTGCAGATCAATCCTTTCTATTCAACAAATTACACTCACAAATTGTGAAATCCCAATGACACTGGCTGAAAGTGTCTGTCGAACAGGAAGAGAGAGAAAATCTGGAAGAGCGATTTGTATTTGCAACCATACTTCAATTCAATCATGTATGGCTGACTCGTATGACTTCTTTATTTGCTCTATCATACCTTAACTCATTTTCATTAGATTTGCATTTCTGCCTATTGTGAACCCCAAATTTACTAAAGGATATTTCTTAAAATTCATGAGAATTAAGGGCAAACCTTAGGCTATTTCAGTTTCTCTTAAGGGCAAACAGATCATTTCTTCGTCTACACTTGTTCTTCAATTAAATTGAATGCAATAAATAGTCAAATGCGAATCGCATAGAAGTCATCTCATCAAACTCACGCGCCATACTCTTGTTACTATTGCAAGAGCTTCTTGCTTGTTCTGTTGAATTATCTGATGGTGTCTGAAGTCTTACTTTCAGCTAGTATCATTGCAGTTGGCATGCATCGCGTGTGTATCTGTTTATGTGGGCTCGTAATTTGGTTGCCTTTCACAAAAGACATTTGACGTGACTAGCAACGGCCGGCAGCAGCAGCAATCGCCGGCGGACCACGGACAGCCGACAGACTTTGTTGACAACGGACATGGCACATGGAAAACGGACAGCCTTCTCGTCGCACTCAGACGCAGTCGCAGTCATTCACGTCCGACAGTTGGCAGACCGTTGATCATCATCGTATGTGCTATGCATTTTTTACGAGACACAAGATGACGCCGTAGCCGTCACCATAGCCATAGCCATAGCCATAGCCATAGCCGTGGCAGTGTTGAGCGCCAACTGTGAGCTACATAAATTTGTTGTGCTGGCCGGCGAAAGGCAGAAATTAAAATGCGCTTATAAAGCAATAAATTGAACATAATAATAATAACGAATAATGACCACATAATGAAATAAGATGTGCGATACGAAATCCTACTTAAAGTAGACACAGATGCAGACACAGATACAGATGCAGATACAGATACAGATACACATACAGATACAGATACAGATACAGATACAGATACAGATACAGATACAGATACAGATACAGATACAGATACAGATACAGATACAGATACAGATACAGATACAGATACAGATACAGATACAGATACAGATACAGATACAGATACAGATACAGATACAGATACAGATACAGATACAGATACAGATACAGATACAGATACAGATACAGATACAGATACAGATACAGATACAGATACAGATACAGATACAGATACAGATACAGATACAGATACAGATACAGATACAGATACAGATACAGATACAGATACAGATACAGATACAGACACAGATACAGATACAGATACAGATACAGATACAGATACAGATACAGATACAGATACAGATACAGATACAGATACAGATACAGATACAGATACAGATACAGATACAGATACAGATACAGATACAGATACAGATACAGATACAGATACAGATACAGATACAGATACAGATACAGATACAGATACAGATACAGATACAGATACAGATACAGATACAGATACAGATACAGATACAGATACAGATACAGATACAGATACAGATACAGATACAGATACAGATACAGATACAGATACAGATACAGATACAGATACAGATACAGATACAGATACAGATACAGATACAGATACAGATACAGATACAGATACAGATACAGATACAGATACAGATACAGATACAGATACAGATACAGATACAGATACAGATACAGATACAGATACAGATACAGATACAGATACAGATACAGATACAGATACAGATACAGATACAGATACAGATACAGATACAGATACAGATACAGATACAGATACAGATACAGATACAGATACAGATACAGATACAGATACAGATACAGATACAGATACAGATACAGATACAGATACAGATACAGATACAGATACAGATACAGATACAGATACAGATACAGATACAGATACAGATACAGATACAGATACAGATACAGATACAGATACAGATACAGATACAGATACAGATACAGATACAGATACAGATACAGATACAGATACAGATACAGATACAGATACAGATACAGATACAGATACAGATACAGATACAGATACAGATACAGATACAGATACAGATACAGATACAGATACAGATACAGATACAGATACAGATACAGATACAGATGCATCTATTAGATTATCATTTCATACAAGGTAATTCTAATTAAAGTAACAACCATGTCAAATGCTGAAAGTGAATTGGCTGGTAAAGAAAATGTTTTAGATACAAATATATCTCAAGAATCGCAACCTAAGATCGACGTGCTGTTTACTTGACTGGCTTGGGCTAGGCGCTATGCCAACACTGAGCTGAGGCACTAAGAACTATTTCAGATGCAGATTGGATTGCAGTTAGGGGGCAGAGCAGTCGTATCTCACAAGTTGACTGCGCGCGCTGTCAACGGCAATTTGCCATAACATAAAACCACACGTTTACACAGAAAGCACCAGGTATACATTCAGGTAACCGAGCGCAGCAGGTGAGCTGCCCACTCGTCATGGCCGGGCCTCGAGCTTTGCGATATGCCACGCTTGGCAAGCGTCTGGCGCCGGGTCGAGTGCGAATCAAGCACACTTTGTATGGCAGAGAGCAGCCTTTCTAAATGCTGATGATCTTGATCGAATCGTGTAACAGCTTTTTACGCACGTCGCTAATGCGACTCTTTGCACACAAGCACAGGTAATGGCCGACAGGTAACGAAAAGGAAAGCAAAATCCAGCTGCAATTAAATAATGTAAACATGAAATATTTCTCTCTTCTTTTCTAGCGGGCGGCCGACGTCAAAATCCAAAGACCAAAACGAAAACTCCATCAAAATTTCGAAGCACGTTTCGCCATCAGGGGGCGTTGCACATTGGCCGCTCGCTGGGCGTGGCTGTGCAACAGGCAGCATAACAAACTCTTGATACGTTTTCATTTAGCCAACTTAATTAATTTTTTCAACGCTTAAAGCCCGCTCGCCGTGTCTGCGGACTTTCCGCTGTGTCTGCAATTTGGCATTTTAATTAATTCTTTCTAAGTGAAAGATCCGTCTGGCTGGCTAGCTGTCTGACAGTCCGTCGTCTGTCTGTCGCTTAGTCCGTCAAAGTGAAATGGGTCGGGCTGTCAGCTGGAGCTTCACATGCGAAATTGAGTTTTCTGAATGTCGAACGGTTCAGCTAGAATCCTGCTTGCACCGTTACAATGAGCACAAATGCGACAAACCGCTCATAAAACAGCCAGCTGATCAGGCTGCCCATTAGGCCGCCGAAACGTCAACACTTAACGGTCCGCGATAAGAGCTCAGAATTGGCAGTTAGTCAGACAGTCAGTCAGTCAGTCAGCCAGTAAGTCAGCCAGTAAGTCAGGCAGTCATTGTCGTCGAAAGCTCCTCTCACATATCTTGCAGTTGTATCGCAGCGTGCATTGAGTGGATTTATGTGCGAATTTCGTTTGCTTGCCTTTTGCATTGGCGCTTTGTATGCGCAAACTGTCAATCAAAGGCAGTCGCTCAATGGCCGAGGACTGAGCACTGAGCACTGCCGTCTGCCCGATGCTAATCAGCGCACTGACCGCCAGTTTATGTACTGAGCGCGCATTTGGCTGCCGGCCACAAGTTATGGCGCCATTATCAGACGCTGCAGTGAGCAGCTGCAGCTCAGGATGCAGAATGCAGAATGCAGAAGCATTTTAGCTGCCTCTCGTGACATGTCACGCAAATGTCAGCAATTGGCAGCCAGCGCTGAAAACATATTGCAAATATATCTAGCCAAGGCACAGCAAGCGACCGACCACAATCGACTCACTCCTAGGCAAGAGAACCATTTGCCAAAGCCAAAAAGCCAGCAGCAGTACCAACAGCAGCAGCAGCAGCAGCAGCAAACCAAATGCAAATCTAGCTGGCTGTGTGGTTAACACTCGAACGGCGAACGAACGAATGTATCTAACGCAAAGTTGTAGCCAAAGTAGCTTGGCAATCAAATGCATTTATTTTGCATATAATTGAAATGATAATTTCGTGTGCAGCCAAGTGATTTTGTCGTTGCTGTTGTTGTTGCTGTGGGCGTTACTGTTGCTGTTGTTGTTGTTGCTGCTGCTGCTGCTGTTGCTGTTGCCTTTTCAAAATGTCAACTTGTGCAGCAGTGTCAGATAAATCAATCAAGTTGATTAGTTTTTGTGTTGCAGCGGGTAATTAGCGAGGCCCGGCTTAGGCGGGTGTGACTTGATCTATAAGGCAGTAACTGTCTCTCACACTGTCCGTCAGTCCGTCAGCCTCTTTGTCGAGCGGGTGGAAAATTATTGAGATAATTCAAGGTTAGAAATCAAAGCATTTGCAATTGTTTTAATTTAACGTGTTGACGGCCATTCGAGCTGGCAATTTATTAAGGGCTTTGCATTCAGCCAGTTAGCGATTGCGCGAACAAACTTTATAATGGTCTAAAGCTCTTAGGTTTTTTCCACTTCTTCCACTGCTGCATTAGCTTAAAAATAATGTATCCGCATTTATGGCTAATGTGCATAAGGCCCGACTGTGTAACCTTCCCCTCTCTTTCTTTCAATAGCTCCTTCTCATTCTCTCTCTTTTATACTCTTTTAGCTTAAGGCTAATGTGCAAGCATAAAATTTTAAGAGCAGACCCAAAAAAAAAAAATTCCCAAATATACATACATACATATGTGTATCTATATATCTGTAAGCTACTGTATCTTTGTTTATCGTGCTTTTATTATTATTATATATTTTTTCGAGTGCCCAGACAGTCAGACGACTTTGGCGAACACTGAAGTCAGAGCTGAAGCCAATATCTGGGCACAAAAAGTCTATAATCCGTTTATGGCTTTAATTGCAGCTTAAAATTGACAACTCAAACAGCGAGTGGGCGGAAGTGAGCGACGCTTTGCCTCGCCGGTTGGGTAAGTAGACATGTGACCAAGTGAAACAGAGATTGTAAAGATAACGAAGTCTATATACCATCAGCGAGGTATAGAGTTCCTACGTGCAAATTGCAATAGTCGTAGGAACTTAATACCGTGCTCTTGGAGGGCTGTCGACCAACAAAACGAATAAAGTGAACAAGTTAAATATATCTATAAATATCCTTAATTATTAATTATAAAAATAAAGATTTCAGATATTTAAATTATCATTATATGTATAATAAAACTTGAAGAGTGGAAAATGTTTAAGAAATCATCTGCGACATTTAGAAATAATAAAGGCAATAATCTTTTCGAGAATAAGGGATTATATATATATTCTCTATACATAAAGTGACATTTCTTTATATATACATATTTGATATACATACTTGTATTTTTGTATGTATATATAATAAATACGTGAGAAGGCACTCCGACTCATCGAATCATTCTCTGGTTTTGTATACATACATACCTATTACATAGAAAACAACACTCGTACACACATACATACACACGCACTCGGGTTACTGCGCAGTTTGAGCTGCAATATAAAAGGTATCGGAATTTATTTACTCAAATGTTTTCGTTCTAGGATGACAATGTTAATGACAATAAGCATTATTACATTCATTTGTAAGCATTTCACAAAATACACATCTCTTTAATCTTTTTTTGCGACTTTATATGAATGAGAGTGAGGATTAGTGCCACCTTGACTCACTCAAGATTATTTCAAGTCAAAACTTAAATAATCAGACGAGTAGGAGTAAGATGTCTGTTCAGGTATAGTACTATTATCAGCAAACTTCGTATTAACTACTGCGTGGTCATCAAGACTCACTACCCTTCATTTATTATTATGAGTATTATCAATGCACTATTTTTAAAGACATGAAGCTCAATAATATAAGACCGTCAGTCTCTGTTTGCACTGTCTTATACCTCGCCTTTCTACAAATGCATCATTTCCATGAATTAGAGAA